GCCAATAGCGTCAATCTCGTCGATGAAGATGATGCATGGGGACTTCCCCTTGGCCAGCTGGAATGCACCCATAGACAGACCCTCACAGCCCCTTACTACCTGTGCTGCCCACCTGTCAAAACGCTTGATGCCAATAGCGTCAATCTCATCGATGAAGATGATGCATGGGGACTTCCCCCCTTGCCCACCTCACAGCACAGCACCCTCGCTGCCCGACTGCCTCTCAGCCCCTCACAGCCCCAAATGCCCGCCTCGTCACCTGCTCTACCTGCCACCACCCACCTGTCGAAACGCTTGGTGCCTATAGCATCAATCTCATCAATGAAAATGATGCACGGTGATTTCTCCTTGGCCAACTGAAACGCGTCCCGCACCAGCTTCGCCCCGTCTCCTATGAACATCTGGGTGAGGGGTTGGGAAGGGTATAGAGGTGAATGGTGAGGTGGCGAGGTGGTGAGGTGTGAGGTCGGCGACTTCTCCTTGGTCAGCTGGAATGCATCCCGCACTAGCTTCGCCCCGTCTCCTATGAACATCTGGGGAAAGCGGTGGGGATACTGCCTGCTTACAGCCCAGCGTTTCAAAACGTATCTCACCCCACTGCCCTTAAACATCCCATTCCCAACAACTCACCTGAACGAGCTGCGGCCCTGCGAGTTTGAGGAACGTGGCGTTGGTCTGAGCAGCACACGCCCTGGCAATGAGCGTCTTGCCGGTGCCGGGAGGGCCGTACAGCAGCACTCCCTTGGGCGGCTTGATGCCTAGAGATGCGAACCGCTCCTTGTGCGTCATCGGCAGCACCACCGCTTCCACTAGCTCTTGAATCTGTGTATGAGGTGCAGGGGGGATTGGGGGAGAGGGAGGTCATGGACCAACGGACCATTGCCAGGGGGACCGTACAGCAGCACTACCTTGGACGGCTTGATGCCTAGAGATGCGAACCGCTCCTTGTGTGTCATCGGCAGCACCACTGCTTCCACTAGCTCTTGAATCTGTGTATGAGGTGCAGGGGGGAATGGGGGAGAGGGAGGTCATGGACCAACGGACCATTGCCAGGGGGACCGTAAGCAGCACTCCCTTGGACGGCTTGATGCCTAGAGATGCGAACCGCTCCTTGTGGGTCATCGGCAGCACCACCGCTTCCACTAGCTCTTGAAACTGCGTAAAGGGTGCAAGAGGGAGGGGGAGAGAGGGAAGGTAGGAACCAGAGGTCGACTGGGGAGGGCCATCCAGCAGAATTTCCTTGGGCGGCTTGATGGCCAGCAAGGCAAACGGCTCCTTGCTACATGGGCAGCACCACCGTGGCTGCTACACATACCATGCCTCTTACGACCCATGCACCTGCTTGTCCAGCCCCCCAATATCGCTGTAATCTTCACTTGATTTCTCGTCCACCTCCATGGCCTTAACGCGCGAGTCATACTCCACTGAGGGTCACACACATGCTCTCACAATCTGTACTTAACCCTCGCGCACACACCTGCCCGCCAATGTCGCTGTAGTCCTCACTCGGCTTCTCATCAACCTCCATGGCCTTGACGCGCGAGTCATACTCCTGTAAGAGTCACATACTCTTCCTGCGCGCACCTGCTTGTCCAGCCCTCCAATATCGCTGTAATCCTCTGACGGCTTTTCATCCACCTCCATGGCCTTGACGCGCGAGTCATACTCAGCGGGCAGAGTATCCAGTATGAGGTAGCTGTCCTTGTTGACGCCCACCAGGTCGCCCGGCTTGAGCGCGTCCGCGTCCACAAGCCAGCCCCACACACCTGCTGCTACCACTGCTCAGTGCTACCACCACAGTGCCTGCTACAGCCCACGCACCTGCTTATCCAGCCCGCCAATATCACTATAACCTTCAGACGGCTTTTCATCCACCTCCATGGCCTTCACACGCGAGTCATACTCCTGTGAGGGCCATACTGAGGGCCATAAACATGCCCTCACGGACAGCAGCCACACGTACCTGCTTGTCCAGCCCGCCAATGTCGCTGTAATCTTCAGACGGCTTTTCATCCACCTCCATGGCCTTGACGCGCGAGTCATACTCAGCGGGCAGCGTGTCCAGTATGAGGTAACTGTCCTTGTTCACGCCCACCAGGTCGCCCGGCTTGAGCGCGTCCGCGTCCACGAGGCCGACGACGGGCAGGAAGATGGTTTGGCGCGTGGACGTCTTGAGCACCACGCACTTGCCCTTGCGCAGCGAGTCCAGGTCCAGATTCGCACCGTCTTCTGGGCTCTCGTCCTCGGGATTCACGTCAAGCACCTGGGAGGCACGCCGGGGGGGAGGGGGAGGGGAGGAGGGGAAGGGGGAGGGGACGGGAGCAAGGGATGCGGGGAAGGAGGGGAAGAAGAACAGGAGGGGAAGGCTTCAGTGCGTCCGCGTCGACGAGTCCCACGACGGGCAGGAAGATGGTTTGGCGCGTGGACGTCTTGAGCACCACGCACTTGCCCTTGCGCAGCGAGTCCAGGTCCAGATTCGCACCGTCTTCTGGGCTCTCGTCCTCGGGATTCACGTCAAGCACCTGGGAGGCACGCCGGGGGGGAGGGGGAGGGGAGGAGGGGAAGGGGGAGGGGACGGGAGCAAGGGATGCGGGGAAGGAGGGGAAGAAGAACAGGAGGGGAAGGCTTCAGTGCGTCCGCGTCGACGAGTCCCACGACGGGCAGGAAGATGGTTTGGCGCGTGGACGTCTTGAGCACCACGCACTTGCCCTTGCGCAGGGAATCCAGGTCCAGATTCGCGCCGTCCTCGGGACTCTCGTCCTCGGGATTCACGTCTAGGACCTGCGGGGTTGGGGAGGAGGAGGAGGGGAGAAGTTGCATGGAAAAAGGAAAAGACATGAATGCTTTGTGGAATTGAGGAAAAACTACACTGAATCCTGAAAAAGTCGAAAAGGTTCGACGAACTAGCAGGGTGGGTGCTGCAATAGAAGGGTCTCACATGCTGCCGTATGCTGAGGTGGTCACATGACAGCAAATAACCGACCAAAGAAGCTCACCTCGACAACGTTTCCAACAAGGTACGGCAGCTGCTTGTTTAGCTTGATCTTCTCCTGATTCTCCTTGATCTTCTCTTTCATGGACTCATGCTCCAGATGCACGCGCTGCGACTCGTCCTGATTGCACAGAGGGGAGAAAGAGAGGATGTATCAGACGACTCAAGCACGGTAACTGCTTTCTGAGCTGGAGCTTCTTTCCTGGTTCTCGTTGACCTTCTCTTTCATGGACGCATGCTCCACAAGCACGCGCTGCGACTCGTCATGGTTGCACCGGGACGAGAAAACAAGAGGAAAAGAGAGAGGTTGAAGGCAGGAAGCAAAAAGAGAAGTGGAAGGATATTTTCCAAATTAGCGCGCTAAAGATGGAATTTTATAGAGAACGAAGAAGACGCGACGAAATTGCCAGAAAGCAAGCAGAACGGATCTAGAGTGGGTGACGCTTGAATTTTGCAAAGAATCTCCGCGGAGAAAACGGGACTGAATGTTTGGCACGAAGAACGAGGCTAGGTCCCGCTTTTATGTTCGAGGATCTTCGCGGGAGTCTGAGGACAGGCAGGGAGGGAACCAAGAAAACTGATCAAGATTCCAAATTCTAGACGGATAGGAGGAAATGAGTTGACTCGGACGGTCGGATGGTTGTCTCGGCCAACGAATCTATAAACCAGTCTCGGGACGGTTGCTATTGTCTCGGGACGTATGCTATTGACACGGAATTGCGTCTTACAGGAACCTTGATTTATTCACTGGAATTCGAACCCAGATCTGCACTGCCGTTTGCTAACTAAGCCCTACTGATGCACCGTCCGCGTACTGAGAAACGCTCGACCCTAGTAGAGTAACAACCTAATCCACACCACGCTTAAGCAAGAGTTTCAAGGTTGTGAACCCACTCGCATCCTACGATCAGGATACTATCACTCTAAGAGCCATTGAGACGAATCAAAAGCCTCCTCGCATCCTACCTTGAGGACGCGAATCTCGTTATCGAGCAACCTAGATCGACGAATGATATCATTCGAGAAGAAAACGAGTCGAATCAGAAGCTCCCCTATCAGTCGCATCCTACCTTGAGCACGCGAATCTCGTTATCCAGCAATCTAGATCGGCGAATGATATCGTCCGCGCTCATAAACGCGAGCTCGGCGCCGATTCCGCCGTCGTCGTCGAAGATATCGTCCTCGTTAAAAGCCGCCATGGCTAGAAACTTGGAGCAAACAGAGAGACTGACAAGCAGCGAATGTGAAGGCTTGCGGACTAATCGCTGGCTGCCCTGTAGCGGTCACACGACAACGGGATGAGCTGTGTGAAAATGGCAATGCGGATGGGGCGAAGAGAAAACGGTCAGAAAGGCTTTGCGGTTCAGTCTGCTTCGGCTGTTTGAAGCGAACGGTGTTGTAGACGATTCGATTTTATTCTTGTAGCTGAGGACATAACATTTCTATCTTACAACGTTTATCTTAGTGCACTATGGGTTTCCTCTCTGGCTTAGGGTTTTGTGTCTACCCCAGAACCTACCTTACCAGGACAACGACGTATATTGAAATTTGATCAGCAGCTCATTAGCATTGGCCAGAAAATTAAAGCCCGAGTCCCAAATTGCGGGCCGCGCGGGTCAAGCTTTTAAAACTTGACGAACTAGTGTTTTCAAGGTTTGAAGAAAAGCGTGCCTGCAATTTGGGACTTTTGGGAACTGAACCAACCCCCAGGGCGAAATACGAGGGCGGGCTGGGTTTGGCGAAAAAAACGAAAAAAGCGAAATCGGAATCTTTCGCCAAAACCCTCACCACAAAAACCCCCTCGCGTCAACCTTTTAAAACTTGTGCAATTTGGGCTGCCGGCTTTAAGGTACGGTACCATGCTTTCAAGGATTTCGCTAAACTCAAATATGTGCGTCGCACGTGTTCTCAGCAAGATGGAACATTGGGCTAGGTAGTTCGATTTCTATAGCTTCGTACTGGTATCAACCAGAATGCAACTTCAACTCCCCTCCCCCGTGCATCGCAGTCAGCCCCTCTTATCCAGGCACGAGTAGAGGCACAGACCGATGCCAATGCACACAAAGAGAATGGCAAAGCTAATGAGCAGCCAGGCCCACCACTCGAGACCACTACTGCAGGACTGACCACATGACGCTCCCTGGTACACTTGAGCTGCCATGTGCACAAGATGCAGGAGGGACAAATGACAGAAACTCAGCATAGATGAAGAGTGTGCTTGTGCGCACGATATGCGGAATACGTTTCACACTTATGCTTCAATTAAAGAGTCCCTCAGGGATATCGCTGAGAGATAGTGAGAGAGAGAGAGAGAGAGAGAGAGAGAGAGAGAGAGAGAGAGAGAGAGAGAGAGAGAGATAGAGAGAGAGAGAGAGAGAGAGAGAGAGAGAGAGAGAGAGAGAGAGAGAGAGAGAAGGGAGGGGGAGGAAGGGGGGGGGGAAGGGGGAAGAAAAAGGGGGAAGAGAGACAGAAAAAAAAGAGGGACGGAGGGGGGAAGATCAGAGGTTCAAGAGGACGTACTTGTTTGGCCAGTAGCAGTATTGGTCACAGCGACCCAGAAGGGCTGGAAATAAGTACCGCAACCACTAGAGGTTATCGCGACGCAGTTCTGGGCGATGCAGTTGCGGTGTTACGCGGTTTCAGCGTCGTCCAATGGGGTCCATAGCGGTTCGAAAGCGTGACGAGCGCGGCATTGTGTTGGCGTGAAAAGAGGCGGGAGATGAGGGCAGGCAAAAGGGCGAAAAGGAGAGGGAAATATTGAATTCGGCGTGTTGAAGTATTTGTGGCGAACCGCAGCAATCTTATCTCATTGCAAGAAAATAATAAAAAAACGGGCTGTACATTTATGTACGATAAAAGCGAAGAAGCTTGTGCGGTGCGCGTATGGATGTTTATTTACCAACGTAAGGAAGATGTATTGGTCGGGATTAAACAACAACAGAGATGAAATAAAGTCACTGGCACAGAGGGAATCGTGGCAATCCCCATCATCGTGGTTGCGACGTACCGAGCAGGCTTGCGAGCAGGCAGGAACGATGTACGACGTGTTCGTGGGGTTTTGACACGGCGCAGCGCAATCGTACGCGGAAACTACGCCGCAGAGTGCGGAGACGAACATAAACACAGTAGCAACTACTAGAAGGTTCCTCATCATGGGGGAAGCAAAAACGACGGGTTTCAACAACTATACGTTAACTGGCAAAGCTGAATAATCTCCGAGAACAAGAAAGGATAGTAACCAGAACTGATATAGGGAAGGAAGATTGGAATGTTCTGTCTGTTGTGTTGTTATCTATGCTCGCTGAAATGGCCTAAAATGGCAAGGGTACCACAATAAAAGGCGGGAAAGGCTACCCAGCTTGCAAGGCGGTTCGGTTGGCGCTGTCTGATTTGCTGGTGCCTTGGCTGCGGGAAGGTTCGAGGTTCGGTGGAAGATAATGTGACTTCTGAACAAGTACGGTTTAGTTGGTCTTGAAACGGCTTTGCACGGTTTAGTAGCCTAGGGCTTGATGACGCTGAAGGCTTGGCGGTTTTGTTCGAACTCAAGGCCTCGTTATTGGGTCTGGCTGCCAGCCTGGCAAGTTCGGAAAGAATTCGAGCCAAGGGCCACAGTGGATTTGGTGCCCCAAAATAGGGCAGCACAAAATTGGGTACCATAACCTGGAAACATACGCGCTAAGAAGCTAGTGTTATGTTCAGTTTCCTATGACTCATAAAGCAAGCTTAGCTATTGTGCAAATGGACAACAAATGTCGCTCCTTGGAGAGATAATAAATATCTCGAATCGACCATACGCTCAGGTTGTTTTATTACATCAAAATTATGATGCCTGGTATCACCTTGTTTGATTTGTGACACCTTATGCCCCTCACATACGGTCAACTGGGATGTGAAGTGGTACAAATGAAGGATCTCCGGCAGAAGTGGGTCTTGTGATCTCCTCTCACCATCCCAGGTCCCTTGCAAACGTTTCCTCCATCCCATAACCTAATTAATTGGCTGAGTACCTGGTGGTACCAATGAAATGGCCTGACAGAACCTAGAAGCCCAGGAAAGATTCAGTGTGGCGAAATCTCTGAATATCTGGTCGGGTTGTAGGCTTCTAGGTGACGAAAGACAAGAAGAATTGTTCTACAACGGAACTCGGCCTGGATCCACTCAGAAATTCAGCATTAAATAAATTGGGAAGAATGAAACAAACTTCTTGACTTGACATGCTTACAAATGTCCATGCACTTTATTGGACGCTGGAATACACAGCATGTGCAGGACAGCACCATTTGGAACACATGTACCAGGATCCAAACACTGGACTCCCCCAGCTGCAACGCTTACCACACCCACGTGTACCCTGCGGCCTTGGCCGCAGCTTCCGCCTGCTGCGCGGCGATAGTGGCATTGTAGGCACGCGATGCCATGAGAGTCGAGTTGTTATCCGCGCTCGTCTTCGCGGTTTGCGCCTTGCTCAGCAGAATCTTCGCATTCGACACATTCGCGGATTTCGCCGGGATGGACGCGTTCGCGTAGTTCACGTCGAACTGCGCCTGCGTCACCGCCGCCGCCGCCGCCTGATCCGCCGCAATGCCAGCGTCGAGATTCGCCTTAGCGGCCGCCACGGCCTGCTGCTGTTTCAGAAGCTCCGCCTGGACCGCATCGGGGTTGTCCAGGTCGTTCTGCCTCTTAACCAAGAAATCCGCCGCGCGATTCGCCTGGTCGACCATGTCCTTAAGAATGGCCTCGGCTTGGGTCTTAATCGCCATCGCTTCGGTCAGCTTGGCTTGCGCTGCGGCCAGATCGGCACCTGTGAGGCTCGAGTCGGCCGCCTTCTTCGCCGCGTCGATCGCTTCAACATTCGCGTCGGCGACCTCGCCCTGCTGGGTGTCCACCAGGGTCGACGTCATGTTGACGCGCCGCTTCGCGTCCTCCACGGCTTGCGTGAGCGACGTCACGTCCGTGCCCTGCGCGACGAGCTTATCCAGCTGCGCCTGCGCATCGTCTGTGATGTTCTGGAGAGCGGGAATCGCGGCGGCCGTGGCGTTCTTCGCGGCGATCTTGTTCGCGAGGACGACCTTGAGGCGATTGACGAGGGGTAACGCGTCGTTGTACGCGGCCGTCGCGTTCGCGAGCGTCGCGTTGGCATTGATAACATCTTGCGCCCTCAGCGCCGCGGTGGCATTCGCGGTGGCGGAATCCCTGGTGCAGTTGATGGCGAAGGCTCTCGTCGTGCGCGCCTTGGTGACGAGGAACGGCTCTGTCTGACCTGTAGCCAAGGACGCGTAAGCTGCGACTGCGAGAAGAAGGAGCAGCAGGAAAGATGGGTTGCGAATGGACGCCATGTGACCGTGCAGTGAAGATAAAATAAGGAGTGAGTGTCGCAGGATGAAGTCAAGTGAGCTGTGAGTTGCTGAAGAGTCTGAAAAGGGCTTGAATTGCTGGTTGGAGGAGTGTGGGAACTGATGATTGAAGCAGTTGGAGAGGCTGATGCCTTATGAAGTTGTGGGATCAGTTTTGAACGATGAGGCGAAATCGACATGTGGGGCAGAATGTCCAGACCAGAGAGAATGGCTTTTGCGGTTCGGCTGGGGAGGCAGTGCATTGCGCGGTTCGAGATTGAACGGGTGAACTGGGGTTGCAGGATATGGAGGAGTGTGGGAATTGTTGGATGCCAGGCTTGCTACTAACTTTGCGTAAGTGTGATACAAATTTCTCACTAAAACCCGTTACAACCGGAAAACTTTGGGCCTCTGCGAGGTTGTGGAATGGTCGGGGTGTCTGCTGGTGAAACTTTTAGTGAAATCGGGTAGCCGCAAATTTGGGGCTGGCTGGGGCTCCGATGAAAGGCTCCACGAGGCGGAGTATGGATTGATTGTGGGAAACAGCTGCCCGAGGGCGCCAGTGGTGGTGCGACGGTCGCAGATGCTGCGTGGATTGGTGGGGAAGTGCTTTAGTGGTAACCGTGTTTCATAATACAGGTAGTTTAACTCCTATAACGATATATTCCTTACCGAGGATATGCTTTTAGTTTGCATAGGATAAATCACTTCTCTTCGCCTTCCCACTGTAACAACGAGAACTGTTTTAACAAGGACAACGACCACTTCACACGACACCTTGCCATGCCATACCAGTCACAGTGACCAGGTGACCTGTGCTGTTCGAACCACAACTCTAGCTTTTGCTTCGAACTTCTGTTTTTTCTCGGCGATTGATACGAAGTTACAATAATGGACGACGAGGATGTCAAGATCGCGAGCGTCCCGAAGAAGCCGATCTTCTTCGGAAGCCTCGAGATTGCCGAGAAGCAGCGGCTCGAGAAGCTGAAGAAGCAGGCCGCCATGTTCGCCGCGAAAGGCGTCGTGAAGGACGGCGATTCGGACGAAGACGAGGGCAAGGAAGGGAAAAAAGAGGAAGAGAAGGAGGAAAATCCGGGAGAAGGTGAGGAGGAAGACGTTGAGGATGAGGAAGAGGAAGAGGAGGATGAAGAGGAGGAAGGAGGAGGAGGAGGAGGAGGGGGTTCAGGTAAGGGTGAAGGAGCCGAGTACGAGCTTTCAGAGACCGGGAAACGCGCTAAGGAGCGTCAGGAGCAGATGCTTAAGGAGCTTGAGATGAAGCGACGCGCGCGCGCGCTCGCGGTGCCTACTAGCGACACGGACGTGCGGTTGCGACTCCGCGCGATCGGCGAGCCAATCACGCTCTTCGGCGAGCGCGAAATGGAGCGGCGCGATCGACTTAGGTCTATAATGGCTAAGTTAGACGCCGAGGGGCGCCTTGACGAGCTTTACGAGGCGATCGAGCGGCAAATGCGGGAGAGCGGGGAAGGCGGCGCGGAGGTTCTAGAAACGGAGGAGGTTCCTCAAGCGGAGTTGTTTTATACCGAGGGGAGTAAGGAGCTGCTATTGGCGCGGCAGGAGATTGCGGTGTTTTCGCTGCCCCGGGCAGGTGAAAGGATTCGGCGTGCGAAGCGGCGGCGCGAGGATCCCGATGAGGACGAGGAGGCGGAGGCAAAGGAAATGATTGGCGTGGTGCAAGGGATGAGCATGCAGGTGGGTGGGGAGCGGTACTGAGCGGTTCAGGGAATGAGCATACAGGTTGAGGATTCCAATTGGGACGAGGAGGCGGAGGCGAAGGGTTTGATTGGCGCGGTGCAAGGGATGAGCATGCAGGTCGGTTGAGAGCGGTACTGGGTGGTGCAAGGGATGAGCATGCAGGTGGGTTAAGAGCGGTACTGAGCGCTACTGGGTGGAACGGTACTGAGTGAGTGGTACTGGTCGGTACTGGCCGTCCCATCTCTGCATGCGCTCCCCCCCAACGCCGCCCTTATTGCCACGTCGGGCTTTCACTTGTGCTGCAGCATTCACCCTTGCCCATTGTCCCCACCCTCTCCCAACCCCCCGCCCCGACCCCCAACCCCACTCCCCCCTCTCTCTCCCACCTCCACAGGTATCAGAGATAGGAGACGAGCGCCCCATCTCCGCCTGCGCGCTCTCCCCCGACGCCTCTCTCCTCGCCACCTCTGGCTGGAGCGGCGCCTGCCGCCTCTGGTCGCTGCCAGCTGTGCGGGCGGCAGGCGCGCTGCGCGGCCACTCAGAGCGCGCCACGTGTGTGGCCTGGCACCCCCACGCGCTCTCCTCGCTCCCTGCCTCCGGTCCCAACATTGCCACGGCCGGTGCTGACAGGTGAGGAGATGGTGGGGTAGGTGTAGCCGTCTCATGTCAGCTCCTTACATGTCAGGTCAACGTGTTTGAAACCCTTCCCTTTTCGGTTTTGACCCTGGTGCCGCCTCCTCCGGTTGCTTCACGTCCCGCTTCTCTTCTCACTCCCCTCCTCGTCGTCTCCTCTTCCCCATCTCCTCTCCACAACCCCCTTCCGCCCTCTCAGGTGTGCCCTGCTCTGGCCACTCCCTTGGGCAGCATCAACCCCACGCGACTTGACACCAACGGTCAATTTGACAACCCACGTCCCTCCTTCACCCCGACAACCCCAGCTTCCCCTCCCGCTCCTTCCTTCCCTCCCTCTCAGGTGTGCCCTGCTCCGGCCACTACCATGGGCAGCATCATCCCCACCCGATGCCAACGGCCAATCCAACAACCCTTCGTCCCTCCCTCACCCCGGCAACCCCGGCTTCCCCTCCCGCTCATTCCTTCCCTCCCTCTCAGGTGCGCCCTGCTCTGGTCGCTCCCGTGGGCAGCATCAACCCCACCCGACGCCAACGGCCAATCCTACACCCCCTCCTCCCTCCCCCAATCCGATGGCCCGGATTCCTCCTCCCGCCCCGCACCCCCCTTCTCCTCCTCCTCCCCCACTCTCTCCACCCCTCTCCTCCGCCTTTCCGGCCACTTAGACCGAATCGCGCGAGTGGCCTTCCACCCGTCCGGAAGGTTCCTGGCAAGTACGAGTTTCGACAAGACGTGGCGTTTGTGGGACGTGGAGCGGGGAGGGGTGGAGTTATTGCTGCAGGAGGGGCACAGCCGGGCTGTGTACGGTGTCTCTTTCCAAAAGGACGGCGCGCTCGTTGCCACGTGCGGGCTGGATGCTCTGTGCCGGGTGTGGGACCTGCGGACGGGGAGGAGTATCCTTGCATTGGAGGGGCATGTGAAGCCGGTGGGTCTGATTGGGAGGATAGGGTTTGAAGGTGTGCTGTGGCCGTGTGTGGGCTGGATGCTCTGTGCCGGGTGTGGGACCTGCGGACGGGGAGGAGTATCCTTGCATTGGAGGGGCATGTGAAGCCGGTGGGTCTGATTGGGAGGATAGGGTTTGAAGGTGTGCTGTGGCCGTGTGTGGGCTGGATGCGCCGTGCCGGGTGTGGGATCTGAGGACGGGGAGGAGCATTCTGGCACTGGAAGGACACGTGAAGCCGGTAAGTTGGGCTGACCTTATACTCGTTGCACTCGTGGCCACGTCTGGTGTGGGCTGGACGCACCGTGCCGGGTGTGGGACTTGAGAACGGGAAGAAGCATTCTGGCATTGGAAGGACACGTGAAGCCGGTGGGTTGCGATGGGAGATGAGGATGAGGTTTCTGTGTGAAGGTGCTCCTCGTGGCCTCGTGTGGGCTGGATGCGCTGTGCCGGGTGTGGGACTTGCGAACAGGGAGGAGCATCTTGGCGTTGGAAGGGCATGTGAAGCCGGTGGGTTGGGTTGGGTTGGGTTGGGTTGGGTTGGGTTGGGTGGGGTGGGGTGCTGATATGGAGCAATTTTAGGGTTTGCTGGTGGCCACGTGTGGGCTGGATGCGCTGTGCCGGGTGTGGGACTCGAGATCAGGGAGGAGCATCTTAGCACTGGAAGGGCACGTGAAGCCGGTGGGTTGAGGTAGGGGGGTGAGGATGGGTGTTTCTCAGGGTGTGGGACATAAGAACAGGGAGGAGCATTCTCGCTCTGGAAGGGCATGTGAAGCCGGTGAGTTGAGTTGGGTTGAGTTTGGCTGGATCGGGTGTTGGTTTGGAGCGGTTTTAGAATTTACTGGTCCGGCCTGATGCTCTAGGTGGTCTGTGCGCCTTTCCCTGTCCGCCCCCTTCCTTCCAGCTCCTGGCATGTGATTTCTCCCCCAACAAATATCACATGGCAACAGGAGGGGAGGACCACACATGCCGCGTGTGGGACCTGCGGCAATGCAGGATTCTATCCTTCATTCCTTGTCCCCCCTCTCTTTCCATGTCCACCCCATCTTTCCAATCAGCTCCTGGCATGCGACTTTTCCCCCAACGGATATCACTTAGCAACAGGAGGCGAGGACCACACATGCCGCGTGTGGGACCTGAGGAGATGCAGGAAGGGCGCGGGAGGGGGAGGGGGAGCAGGGGGGGCGGAGGGGAGTGGTGGCAGCCTGTATGTGATCCCGGCTCACACACGGCTGGTGTCAGTGGTGCGATATGAACCGAGGGAGGGAATGCTGCTGCTCACCGCTGGCTATGATAACACTGCCAAGGTGAGCGGTGCAGTGCGGTAGTGGAGAGTGGGTGCAGTGCGGTGAAGATGGGTTGCAGTAGGGGAAGCCTGTATGTGATCCCGGCTCACACGCGGCTGGTGTCGGTGGTGCGGTATGAACCGAGGGAAGGAATGCTGCTGCTCACCGCTGGCTATGATAACTCCGCCAAGGTGAGCGGTGCAGTGCGGTAATGGGGAGTGCGGTGTAAGAAGCAATGCGGTGCAGTGCGATACTGGGGAGTGGGGTGTCGGTGGTGCGGTATGAACCGAGGGAGGGAATGCTGCTGCTCACTGCTGGCTATCATGACACCGCCAAGGTGAGAGTGGTGCAATGCGGTAATGGGGAGTGGTGCACTATGGTAGTGGGGAGTGGTGCAGTGCGGTAGTGGTGAGTGGGATGTTGGTGGTGCGATATGAACTGATGGAGGGGTTTGCTTCTGCGCACCAATGACTATGATATAGCTGCCAAGGTGAGGGCAGGTGGGGTGATTGTGCCGAAGGGGATTGTAGATGGGAGGTAATGAGCGAGAGTGATTGAAGAGAAGGTAGGGGTTGATGCTGCTTAGGAGAACACCGCTCAAGGTGAGGGTGAGGGCAGATGGGGTGAGTGTGGCTAAGGAGAATGGAGGGGTTTATTGTGGCGAAGGTAATTTTGAGCGAATGCATGCATGCTGAATAATACTTTAACTTCCTTCCCTTCTTCTACCCCTTTCCCCTCCTTGCTCCCCCCTTTCCCCCCACCCCCAATTTCCACCACCACAGGTGCTGGGGCGGCGCTTCAAGCCGGTGAAGGTGCTGGCAGGGCAGAGTGGGGAGATGATTCTTGAGCGCATTGAAACCCCTTCTCCCCCCCCCCCCCCTTCCCCCCTACCCCTTCCCTCTTTTTCCCCCTACCCCTCCCCTCTTTTTCCCCCTACCCCTCCCCTCTTCCCCCCTACCCCTCCCCTCTTCCCCCCTACCCCTCCCTTCTTTCCCCCTTCCCTTCTTCAACTTGCCACAGGTGTGGTAGGGGCGGGACTTCAAGCCAGTGAAGGGGCGGGCATGGCACGAGGGGGGAGATGACCGTTGATCCTTAAGCCCTCTCAAACACCCCACCAATCCCCCGTTCCCCGTCTCCCTCCCTCCTTCCCACTCCCCCCTGATCACAGGTGTGGTCAGGGCGGGACTTCAAGCCGGTCAAGGTGCTGGCAGGGCACGAAGGCAAGGTCATGGGGGCTGACGTGGCAGCAGGTGAGTGGATGGTCGTGGGTGCTGACGTGGCAGCAGATGCGTGGATGGTAATGGGAGCTGACATGGCAGCAGGTGAATGCATCATTGGCCAGCCAGGAGCTAGGACCTGGCGAACGAATCAGGGACAGGGGGCGGGTTAAGGGTTTATGGGGAACTTGGGATCATTTGGGGGGAATTTGAAACGTGGTCATGGCATGGTGTTTCAGTCCTCTTTGTGTGGTTTTGTTGCCTTATTTGCCAAATGTCCATTTCCCACTTTTATGTTATTATCGTTTCTTTTCAGATGGGCAATGTATCGTCACAGCGTCTTACGATCGCACAATCAAACTATGGAGTAATGATGACGCTGGGGCTACACCCATGATGCGATGATGCGTATGGGTCTTCTGAAGTCCGCAGCGTGCATTGTTAGGTGAATGGTATTCAATGCTTGGCGTGGGTCGAATTACTGGATGGTTTGACGGTCCTTGTTAGCAGATTACAGAGGCTATCATCTATAATCTTGTTGTAAAACATTTATGAGAATTGCATGGATGGAGCTCTTGTGTACCTGCATGTAGTCTTGGGCAACATCGAGATCTGGGTTTTAGATTTGAACCACTTTGCAGGAGCATATGGGAAACATCACTGGATGAGTGTATATTTCTGGAAATGCAGAATGGACGCTCAAATATGAAGTTACGTCTTGGTTTGTCGGAACCACCACGTGCAACTTATCGTCTAATACACGTGCTCATATTGCAACGAATACGAAAGTGGCAGCTTGACATATTTCACCCTAGATTGGGGAGCCATATGCGCGCCACTGAATTCGAAATTGGCGTGCAATAAATCATGATGCCAGCACAATCCCTAGATTTTATTACGGCAAACAAACCGGTTCAAGTGAGGGAATCATTCGCACTGTGGACTGGACACGCTCCAGCCTCTGGTTGGATTTCCGGGGGGCAAAACCCCTTCTGCTGACCTGTTCGCGCGTTTCGCCAGCCCACGTGACGTAGCTTGTTGGACAACTTGACGCGCTTATTCCTTTTGTTGACCTGGCGCAAACAAGAGAATCCACGAATCACGGCTCTAGTGGGAGTCGAAAGGCCTCGCTGATGTGAACCTCACGAAGCTGACATGGGTACCTGAACCGTCCAGCGTGGCAACCGCAACCGCTGTGTGGTCCCGCGTTAGCCATGCTGGCTTGCACGTGCTACTGTGGCTCTTCGCGAATGTCATGCGCTTTACATCCACCGCAATGCCGTTCTGTTGGCTGAAGAAACAACTGGGGAAAGAAGGGACGGCCAGCGAAGCGATCCACCAAAACCCTAGTTCCATCCTACACGAACATGTTCGTGTCGGTTATTCCAGGTCTCTTCCTCAGCGAACCTCTCCTCCGCCTTCAGTCACACCGACGTGTTCCCCAAGTCCACATGCTCCCCCCTTCCATCCCCTTCCCCCTTTCCCCCTTCCATCTTCCCTGGTCCCCTCTCCCCCCCCTCTCCCCTCCCCCACTCCCCTACGCTTCATCAGACCCACCAACTGGGTGGGTCTATTCAACAGCAACACAAAACCCCACTGCGCCAACTCACTGCGCGGGATGGGTGTCACTGTCACCCAACCCAACCCAATCCACTCACCCGTTTGTCCAGTCGCCTTCTCCGATCGCACAAGCCCTCTCTTCTCCTGGAGTCCTTTCTCGTTACAGGCACAAGCCCCCATAGAGTTACCCTAAATTTCTGATCCCCATAGAAATTTAGATCCCCACAGAGTTACCCCAATAAGCCTCCCAGAGGATATAAATTTCTGACTCCTCGATAACAGCTCGACTCTTCAGACCTGTGACAGCAAGTTGACTTTGGGAGAGCCGATTTCACCTTCCCCTCACCTTGATCCTTCCTATCCCAATCCCACGACGCGGCTTCAATTTCCTCACTTAGCGACCCCAGAAAGGCTCGTCTGGCGATTCCGTTTTCCAAGAGGTGCTTTCTCAGGCGACCAGATGTGTCTGTCATTAACCTTGTCGCCCTTTCGGCAGTCAGAACAACAATCCCACGTACCTAATAAATCCATCAGGCGATAGTAGCACGTGGTGCGTTCTTATCAGAAATCATGGTCGGCATGTCTCCTTTACGCTTTTCACCGTCTCCGTCCCATAAGGGCCCCTGGATTGGTAGTAATTGTCCAGTTTGTTCCAAGTTGGTACACAACGAAGATCAGGGAATTATTAAGACCAGTCCCTTAGCCTCTCCTAGAAGTACAATGCCGCCACCTGCGAAAAAGAAGAGCAACCCTCTCGCTTTAACTATTTCCCGGTTATTCAAGAAGTCAGCTGCAGTCCCTTTATCTCCTCCTGGTCTCGAGATGCCAGAAGGGAAGGTGGAGACAGCGATCAACGAGATATTGAGCGGTGGTAGTTGGAGCAAGGACGAGGAAGAGCAACTGAGGATTCACTTCAAGTCCCTCCCCCCTCGGTATGTCCTAGGGTACGAACGCTGTTACAGTCCACGACCTGTTGGTTTTACGCCGTCACCTTTAACGTTGCAGTTTTCGTTGATTCCCTACTAATTATAATCCATTTTCATCTTTCCCTGTGTTCGTTTCTGACAGGTACGCAGCCATGGGTTACTCTTCCGACGCAGTTAAGAGCCACATGGCTTTGCTTAGGGAAGCATCAGGCCTGAAGGAGGGGATACCGGCAATTCGACTGGACGTGAACAATGGCGAGCTTGACGCTTTCATGGAGGACGAGAGCGAAACGGACGATTCCTTCTCATCGGCCGGTGGTATCTCGCTCTCGTCTTGCCTGGAGGATTCGTTATCGTCCAGCCGGACCGAGGTCACATTCGCGTGCAGCAACCACGTCTGTCGCAGCAACATCTCCTCGGCTTTTCACAGATCTGGCATTCGTGTTTTCGGAATCTACACGTATGACACAGCCGCTGGTGCAACCCTCGGCCATTTCTATATCCGAGCGTCCATTTCTCACATTTCCAAGAAGCAGATTGAGGATCTTCTTGCATCGGCTATCAAAAGACCTCCCAGAGGCCTTGGAATCCAGGAAACCCTTTCAAATTTCATGAGCAAGGCCAGTCCGAGACACAGCAGCTTCGCCGATGGAGACAACAGTCAGAGGTCCAATCTGGGTTCTGTCCCTTCGTCACCTTCCCCGAGCTTCACTTCCAAGCAGAGTTCACAGTCCGGGAAGGACATGCTGGAAGTGCTGCTGTGCGAGAAGGGAGCCATGAAGAAGAAGCTTGGTAATTTCATCCTTGATCCGCTTCGGCTGTCAATGGGACCGGTGATTGCTGTTGGAGCGTCAGGCGAAGTGAGGAAGGGGACGTACGATGGAGAAACGGTCGCCGTTAAAGTGCTGAAAGGGGAGGGTAAAGACCCGTACGCGAATGTTGCGGAGTTTCGCCGGGAGGTGGTAACCCTAATGTCGTGCGGCCAGTGTCCGCAGCTACTGAAGTTCTTCGGCGTCTGTATCGACTTTCGGCAACGGATCTGCATTGTTACAAAGTTCATGGAGAGAGGGACTCTGAACGACCTGCTTAGGCGACGCCAGGGCAAGGGTTTGCCGCTCAGCGATGCAGTGAGCATCGCGCGCGACGTCGCACAAGCGATGGCGTTTCTTCACAAGAACGGGATGATTCACCGCGATTTGAAATCGGCGAATATCCTCTTGGATAAGGAGGGTCACGCTGTGGTGGGAGATTTCGGCGTGGCGAGACTAAAAGGAGAGCGAGGGGAGATGACCAAGGAAGTCGGAACCTACAGATGGATGGCTCCTGAAGCCTTCGGCACGAGTCCATGGCCAGTTACTCATAAGGCCGATGTCTACAGTTTCGGAATCGTTCTCTGGGAAGTTTTAACAGGGGGGGTGCCGTTTGCTGATTATTCCCCGCTACAAGCTGCTGTGGCTGTTGCTCTTAACGGAGCTCGTCCGAGTATTCCGGCATCGGTGCCGGAATCGCTTCGCTCGCTGATTGAACGGTGCTGGGACAAGACGCCCAAGGAAAGACCAGAGTTCAGCGAGATTTTGTCCGAGCTTGACCGGATTGCTAAGGAGATTCAGCAGCAGTAAGAGTCTCTCTTAGCTATACCGGCCAGGGTCAACCAATTTTGAGGCAAGGCCATCCAGATTTTCCCTTCCTGATTGAGCTCTTACCTTGTCTTTTCAGTGTACAGCTCCTCTCATGGGACCAGCTTCTCGTGCAGGTGTTACAGCAATTCAGCAGTAACTCCCCCAATTTTGTAGGAACAAAGGTGTTTTCTGAAGTATGTAGCGTGGAGCAACCAGGAACTGGTGTGCTGCGTTGATGCTAACATGTGATTTATATGGAATTTGCCAAAATGACCTAAAGTACATTGTCGAGACCTAAAGTACATCGCTGCTAAGGGCGTATTCCTACGGCCTCCTATCAAGAAACCTCCTATCAAGAATGCACATTTTGCCTGGTGAAAGTAGCGAGAGATTTTGGGTTTAGGGAATTTTTCAGTGTGAGCTTGATAAGAGGTTTTCTTGATAGGAGGATAGGAATACGCCCTAACATTGCTCAAGCGCCCCACTTACTCCACCTGTTTTGTATGCTGGTTGATGTGCAGTGCATGATGACTAGGCTAGGCACAACCTCAGGTGTTTAGGGTGTAAACAATGGCAAAGACACTAATATTTTTTAGGAATTTCTTAGATGCTACAGCCTACAGCCTTCAGTTCAGCTTCCTAAACAGTTTTCCACAATGCACATTTCTTGGGATCTCCAAATGCTGCGTCTACACTCATACCGGTAATATAGCAGCAGAGCAGCTCCTCTATTCAATGTGCCGCCATAAACATCATTGCAACCCATACACATCCACCCGCATTGCATCTCCACCAGCAAACAGCAGCCGCCGCCCATGTGCCCACTTGATATCATGATACCGACCGGGCTGCCGGCCATCCTGAAACCCCCCTGCCAGCCTGGCAACACCACCACCACTCGGCCCCACACTGCCACTCAGATCAGCCAAGTACAGCCCCCTCACAGTGCTCACAGCGACGACACCTGGCAGCATGCTACTGGCCAGCTTGAGTATGGGGGATTCGTCCAGGTTCAGCGAACCGAGAGGCGGGGAGTTCCCGAGGGAGTGCAGGGAGCGGAGGTCCCAGAGTTTCAGGTAACCATCCATGCCGCCCGATGCCACTGTAACAGATGCTGGGCATGCGTCCAATGCGGTTACCATACCCGCATGTGCCTGGGGGCGGCCCGAGGGGGAGGGGGAGCCAAGCAGAGCTGGGGGAGGGGTACGGGTACAGGTGGGAAGAGCACGGGGAGGTGGGGGTGGTGAGCAAGGGTGCAGAAAATTATGAGGCGAATAGTGGTGTCCTGAGAGGTGAATGGGTGATTAGTGGGTAAATGAGTACGACTAGCGTGAATCATACAGCGGTAAATCGCACGTACCAACGGCGTTGGAGGCGCGGCGATCCCAGAGGCGAATGGTGGTGTCCCGAGAGCCCGAGAGGAAGAGGTTGGGGTTGGGGGGGAAGACTGTGAGACACGTGATCAGGTCCTGGGATGGTTAAAGGGGAGGTGGGGTGGGGTGGAAGGGAAGAAAGTGAGACAAGTAACATGGGGCAGAGAGGAAGAGGTTGGGGTTGTGGGGGGAGACTGTGAGACACGTGATCAGGTCCTGGGATGGTTAAAGGGGAGGTGGGGTGGGGTGGAAGGGAAGAAAGTGAGACAAGTAACATGGGGCAGAGAGGAAGAGGTTGGGTTTGTGGGGGGAGACTGTGAGACACGTGATCAGGTCCTGGGATGGTTAAAGGGGAGGTGGGGTGGGGTGGAAGGGAAGAAAGTGAGACAAGTAACATGGGGCAGAGAGGAAGAGGTTGGGGTTGTGGGGGGAGACTGTGAGACACGTGATCAGGTCCTGGGATGGTTAAAGGGGAGGTGGGGTGGGGTGGAAGGGAAGAAAGTGAGACAAGTAACATGGGGCAGAGAGGAAGAGGTTGGGGTTGTGGGGGGAGACTGTGAGACACGAGATCGGGTCCTGGGATGGGCACAGGGAGGTGGGGTGGGGGAAAGGAAGACAGTGAGACAAGTGGCATGAGGCAGAGAGGAAGAGGTTGGGGTTGCAGGGGGAGCGGACAGACACAAGATCAGGTCCTGGGATGGCAGGGAGGGGAGGAGAAACCCATGAGCTCAGCCCATGAGAAATCCGACATACCTCATGCTCCGTGTACTGCCTGACTGGATGCAGGCTGGAGAATGGCGCCCCTGTGAGGTAAGGTCGTAGCAGCAAATGCGGTCGCGAGGCGAGGCAGGAGAGGGGAGGCAAGACGCAAGGAAGCCTGTACCACACCCACTCTATATTGCTCTCACCTCGTGCTCCGTGTACTGCCTGACGGTGTGCAGGCTGGAAAACGGGTGGGGGCCTGTCCCTCACTAACCTGGAGCTAACCAGACACAACTGCCCAGTCCTCTTATCTCACCTCGTGCTCCGTGTACTGCCTGACGGTGTGCAGGCTGGAAAATGGTGCCCCCGTGAGGTCGTAGCAGCAAATGCAGTCGCGATGCAAGGCAGGAGAGGGGAGAAGAAAGGAAACCCTTTCACTCTCACCCTTCAGTCTCACCTCGTGCTCTGTGTACTGCCTGACAGGGTGCAGGCTTGAGAATGGCGCCCCAGTCAAGTCATAGCAGCATATGCGGTCGCGCGGGGAGGCAGGAGAGCCGTCGGATGGAGCCATGCTTTCGGCCGTGATGAATGCCAGATCAGGGTGAATTCCTATGGCCTGATGTGGGCAGGGAGGTGGAGAGCGGTGAAGAGAGGGTTTAGGGTTGGATGGAGCCATGCTCTCTGCTGTGATGAAGGCCAGGTCTGGATGAGTGCCTATTGCCTGATGTGGGCAGGGAGATGGAGAGCGGTGAAGAGAGGTGAAGAGCGATAACGAGAGCCGTCAGATGGAGCCACGCTCTCCGCTGTGATGAATGCCAGGGGTGGGTGGATTCCAATAGCCTGGTGTGGGGTAGAGAGCGGTGAAGAAAGGTGAGGATAAATATTGAGAGAGAGGAGGAAAGCAGGCAGGAGAGCTGTCAGATGGAGCCATGCTCTCTGGCCTGATTGTGGTGGGGAGATGGAGAGCGGTGAATAGAGGTGAAGAGTGATACGGATGGCCGTCGAATGGAGCCATGCTCTCGGCTGTGATGAAGGCCAGGTCTGGATGAGTGCCGATTGCCTGATTAGGGTAAAGAGTGGTGAAGAGAGGTGAAGGCAAGATAGGTGGAGGATAATTGAGTGCTATGTTTGATCACCTCATGAATAGCCCCATGTGCTATAATTGCTTATAAGATTCAAAGTTGTGAGACATCAACCTTAACCTTTCGAACACATCGATCTTCTTGCGACAATGAACAGCCCCATCTCACCTTGATGCACGATATGACACTCGTCTGGTTGCGGTCAAGCCGCCCAGTCACTTGCCACCCTCCCCCTCCTCCCCCTGCCCCTGCTGCTCCTCCTCCTCCCCTTGCTGCCACGATTCTTTTACCATAACCTATAGCCCCATCTCACCTTGATACACGATATCACACTCGTCTGATTGCGGTCAAGCCGCCCAGTCACTTGCCACCCTCCCCCTCCTCCCCCCCCCCCTGCCCCTCCCCCTGCCCCCTCGTCCCCCGTGAGTTGCAGGATGCAAGGGGCAACAGGGTGGGAGGCTGCTTGACCCTCGCTCATGTCGTCCTGACATCAACAGGAGGGCGGGGGACAGCGGAAAGAGAATGAGAAGTGCTAGCCCTCGTGCCCCTGTCCCTGTCCCCTCCCCCCCTACCCCTGCCCCATCGTCCCCGGTGAGTTGCAGGATGCAAGGGGCAACAGGGTGGGAGGCTGCTTGACCCTCGCTCATGTCGTCCTGATGTGGATAAACAGGTTTGGAACGGAAAGACCTTGCAGTCAGAACAGGTTTGGAACGGGAAGATCTTGCAGTCAGAACAGGTTTGGAAGAGAGGATAAGTGAGATTTGATTTGAAGAGAGGATTATAAGAGACGGTGGAAAGAAGGAAGCTGCAAAGGAAAACCGCGACCACGACAGGAAATTACGCCATTCAAACCCTGTTGCAAAAACAAAGAAAGAACAAGAACTAGCAGAATAATGTGAGCTGGCATAGTGTATGGTGTCACTCACCCTTGGTGCCGCTGCGAGCAGCAGAGATGGGGGCGAGTATAGAAGGTCCATTCCACACACATAGTGTGAACCGAGCAGGAGAGACTGACGGGGCTGTATTGGGGGAAGTGGGGAGGAGAGGGTGACAGGCAGCAAGCAGCGAGGAGGGAGGAGATGGTAAAAGGGACAGCTGAGAGCAGCAAGGAGGAGGGCGAGTATAGAAGGTACCTCCTGCCACACACGTAGTGTGAACCGAGCAAAGAGGAGCAAAGAGGAGGAGGGAGGAAGCGAGGGGAGGAGGCAGAAAGGAAGAAGGGGAAAGGGGGGATCAGCAGCATGCAGGAGGGGGGCGAGTATAGCAGGTCCATGCCACACACGTAGTGCGAGCCGAGCAGGAGGGTTTGATGGGGCTGTATGGGGGGGGAAGGGAGGGGAGCAGAATTGGAAAGCACAGGAAGAAGACGTGAGGGACAGGCAGCAAGCAGGGAGAAGGCGGGGCGAGTATAGAAGGTCATCTCTCCTGCCACACACGTAGTGCGAACCCAGCAGGAGCGACTGGCAGGGCTGCATTCAGGGAATAGGGACTAGACAAGCCAGCCACGGTCCACATTACTCCATCTGCAAGTATGAAAACACCGCAGCCCCTTTACGCACCTTGCCGTCGGCCCCCCACATGATGAGGCTGCCGTCCATCGCTGCACTCCACGTCGCCCCACTGTTGCTGTCCACACCCACTGCCAGGATGGTGTGCTGATGCCCGTGGTAGGAGTCGACAGGGACCAGCATGGCTGATGGAAAGAGATGATGATGGGAGAAGCACAGGGAGCATGGGGATGAGATGGATGAGTGATGGTGTGATGCTGCCGCCCCGCTGTTGTTGTCCACCCCCACTGCCAGGATGGTGTGCAGATGCCCGTGATAGGAGTCGACCGGGACCAGCATGGCTGATATGAGAGAAACAGGGCATGGGAAACAAAACACGGGATAGGAACAAAGGACGGGTTGGCATGAATAATGGTGTTTGCTGTTGCCGCACCGCTGCTGCCATCCCACACCCCCACTGCCAGGATGGTGTGCTGATGCCTGTGATAGGAGTTGACTGGGACCAGCATGGCTGATGGGAAGAACAAGGGAGACACACACGGGGAACAAGGATGGGTGAGGTAGTGTTGCTGTTGCCCCGCTGCTGCCATCCACCCCCACTTCCAGGGATGGGGTGGGTGAGACACGAGCATGGTCGCTCCCTGCTGCCATCCCACACCCCCTCTGCCAGTATGGTGTACTGATGCCCGTGGTACGAGTCGAGTGCCACAAGGGAGAGAGCGTGGCAGGCAGGCACTGGGAGCAAGTTGTGGGGATGAGATGGGTGAAAGTGAGATATTAGCCTAGCTGGTTCGTACCTACCCAAAGCCCACCAGCGCTCTCAGAACATGCCCATGCACTGCACCGCACTGCACTGCACTGCACTGCACCGCACTGCACCGCACCATCCAAGGCGTGCTTATACCGGCGCTGTCAGCACGTGCGAATATGATGGTGCGGAGTGCTGAACTCGGCTCTCATGCTAAAGCACTCTCTCACATGGTGCGACGTCCGGCTCCGACACACAACATGCCAACAGCAGGATTCGAACCCCTCACCTTTCCTCTGATACCACATTCAAAGGTGACTTTCTGAGGCAACATACTTGGATTGTTAGACGGAGTAGTGGACTGAGCTGGAGAGGACTGCATGGCATCAACTGCTCCACTGCCCTTCACCTCACCACCTCCTCCTCCACCTTCTGCCAGCGCTGGTGCTGGTAGTGGTGGTGCTGCCGCTGCTATTGCTGCTGGTGCCGCATGTGCCGCATGTGCTGGTGTGGGTGCTGCTGTTGCAGGGAGTGTGGAGGTGGAGGCGGAAGGGGAGGAGCCGGACAGAAGCATCAGCTGCTGCCGAGCCTGCGCCAACTGCTGCTGCAGCTGCTGCTGCACCTGCTGCAACTGCTGCGGCTGCTGCTGCTGTTGCTGCTGCTGCTGCTGCTGTAACAACTGCTGCGGCAGCGGCGGCTGCTGCTGCTGTGTGGAGGCTGAGAGTTGTTGCAGTTGCTGCTGCACCTGCTGCATCTGCTGCTGCAGCTGCTGCTGTAGCTGAAACATTTGCTGCTGCTGCTGCTGCTGCTGCGGGTGCTGCTGCTGCTGCTGTGCTTGCTGTTGCACGGCTTGCAACTGTGACTGCAACAACTGCTGCTGCTGCAGCAGCTGCAACTGTAACTGCTGCTGTTGTGGCTGCATCAGTTGCTCCCCACCTCCTCCTCCTCCGCCGCCTCCTGCTGCTGTCGTCGCTCCTGCCCCTGTTGCTAGCACCTGCGTTTGCAGCTGATGCGGTGGCACAGGAGGGTTGAGGGATGGAGCGGCAGTAGGGGCCATAGGAGAGAGTCGGGACGGCTGGGCTTGGGGTAAGGGCGACTGAGACGGAGGTAAGGGGAGCTGGGACGAGAGGAGTGGGGGCTGCGATGGGGGAAGCGGGGCGTGAGATGGGGGGAGGGGGGCGGAGATGGGAGCTGGGGAGGACCCAGCTGCTGCTGCTAGAGCGGCTGTGGCGGCAGCACCGGCAGAAAGAGCGGCTGTAGCATGGGGGACGGCGGGAAGAGCGCCTGTAGCGGCTGTAGCGGCTGTAGCGGCAGGAGCAGGAGAGGTGGTGGAGGTGATTGGGCTGTCTGTCCAACCGAGGCTGTCCCTCACGTAATTGACATCGTAGCTGCGGGGAGGGATGGGAGATAGGGAGGGAAGGAGGGTGAGAAGGATGAGAGGGAGGGATGGATAGGAGCAGGAGAGGTGGTGGAGGTGATTGGGTTGTCTGTCCAGCCAAGGCTATCCCTCATGTAATTGACATCGTAGCTGGTGGGGGGAAAGTGAAGGAGAGGGAGGGATGGGGGAGAGAGAGGAAGAAAGGGAGAAGGGGAAGGTGGTTTGACCAAGCAAAGATTGCATCCGAGGAGCAGAAACATCCCAGTAGCTGCAGTACTTCTCTAGCTACTGGGATGCTTCAATACAAATTCACCCTTTCAGTACTGATTCACCCATCACACCCCCTTTGTCCCCTCGCCTCTCACCCATCATCCTCCGTCACCCTCTCACCCGTCAACAGGTACCATCGTCCCCTCACTCTCACCGAAATGCCGCCTCCTCCTGGAGTCCCACAGTTGATGCTCGCAGCTCCACCTGGCCCTACCCGCTCCATCCCACCCTCCCCTCCCTCCCGTTCCCTCATCATCCCCCTCTCTTCTCTCACTGGAAAGCCTCCTCCTGGAGTCCCGAAACGGCTTTCCTCAATTCCTCCATCTTGCCTGGGTCGCCCTGACCCCTCAACCCTCGCCCCTCACCCATGATGTCCCTTCGTCTCCCCCTTCTCTCACCGGAATGCCTCTTCTTTGAGTCCCAACACGGCTTTCCTCAACTCCTCCATCTTGCCTGGGTCGCCCTGAGCCACTAGCTGGAGGGGGAAGAAAGGGAGGGGGTTGAGTACAAGGAGAGGGAGGAGCAGGATAGGCGTGTGGGCTTGGTAGAAGCAAAAAGGGGCGGCATTGTAACAGGCTCTCGGCTCCTCTATCTTGCCCGGGTCACTCGGGAGGGGTCTCACCAGGGGCCCACATTGGGGGTCTCAGCAGGGGAGCGTACAGCTCGACAGTCGTCCCCAGCATGGTCACTGCAGCACAGAGGTTGTCAGGCTTACACCTTAAGAAGGGAGGGTGGGGAAGGGGTCTTACCTCGGTTGGGGCCACATGGAATCTCACCTGGGGAGCACAGAGCTCAACAGTCTTCCCCAGCATGGTCACTGCAGCGCAACGGTTGTCCGGCTTGCGTAGCAACGTGAGGATGGTGGTCACTGCGCCTGGTGGGGTTGCATTGCATTGCATTGCACATGTGTGGAGGGATGGAAAGAAAAGTTTATATCCCTGCAAGTTCAGTAGTAAAATCAGCCCCAACCCAGCTCTTTCTTGTGTGAACAAGCTACGTTACCCAGTAGATGCTCGTTAATCTCCTTACGTTCGGCACATACGTTTTGCCCATTACTTATCCCATAGAATGGTAAGTAACTTTTGTATGTTCTTTACATACAATTTGTCCATTATATCTCTCCGCTCTCCCAGCTTGCATCGTAATTATAGTCTGCTTTTTACGTACTCTTCGGTAAAGTACTTACAGTGCATTTAATTAGTTCACCCGCATGCCACCCACCAGCATGCGCTCACCCTGAATGGAGACAAACTCGAGGTGCACGAGGGCGGCAAACGCCTCAGCGTGGACAAAAAACTCCGCCCGGCTGGCGTCGGGCGGGCGCTTTATCGTCAGGAACTTGAGAATCTGCAATTTGAGTGGCAGACGGGGAAGAAGTTCTAGGCTTTAAGGTTCAAGAACCGTGGTCCATGCTCCATGGTCAACGGTCAATGGTTCATGGTCGGAACTAGAGGATTTGTGATACGAGTTGTTGGCCGCATGACGTGTCGCCTCTGAGGATTCACAAAAGCGACACAAACACCACTTGCTGGCTGGGAGAATGAGATGCTGGGGGGAAATGGGACACCACGTACCTTGGGGATAAGCGTGTCCCTCATCTTGACCTTTGCTGCGTCGGGTAACCTGCCTGCAGCACATATGTATGTGTGTACGCACCCTACCCTGTAGACACTCAGTAATATACAACACCCACCAGCAACCACCACGTACCTTGGGGATAAGCGTGTCCCTCATCTTGACCTTCGCAGCGTCGGGTAACCTGCGAGCCGGCCACACACGTGTGTATGTGTGTATGCACCCTGTATACACTCAGTAGTGTACAGCACCCAGCAGCAACAACCACCACGTACCTTGGGAATAAGCGTGTCTCTCATTTTGACCTTTGCTGCATCTGGTAACCTGCCAGCCGCACACACACAGGCAGGCAGCAGGGGAAGGAAGCACGGCAACACACGATGCTGGTTCATCAGCAGAGCAGAGCAGGGGGCGACTTTTGAGTTGAGTGGAAAACCCTGCCAGCCGCATACACAGGCACGTACTGGTGACTGGTTGTCTGGATGGAAAGAGACAAGGCCCTCCCTCACTTCCTCACTCACCGTGGCACGAGGCACATGAAGGGAATGACACATCTCTTCTCAGAGAGCAGGGCATGGGGTATGCAGGAATGCAGGCACGTAGTGGTCAGTGGCTGTCTGGTAGAAGAGAGCGTAGGCCCACACACACTCACCGTGGCACGAGGCGCACGAAGGGCACAACGTTGATCTTCTGAGCGAGCAGGCCTGCCACTCATGCACCGCACTCAACCCATCCGCGACACGCGACACACTCACCCCAATCGCACACTCACCCCAATCACACACTCGCCGTGGCACGAGGCGCATGAAGGGCACGACACTGGTCTTCTGAGCGAGCAGGTCCGTTTCAAACACCACGTGCAGGAATGCCCTGTCTCTTATGCACCGCACTCACTCACCCCACTCACACACTCACCGTGGCACCAGACGCATGAAGGGCACGACACTGATCTTCTGAGCGAGCAGGTCCGTCTCAAACACCACATGGAGGAATGCTGCAACGAACGCATCCAGAGGGTCCTGTGGTGGTAACCAGACAGGCAGGGTTTGAGGTAGAGAATTTAAGGGCTTAAGGTTTGCATTTGAACCTTTATAATCATATATGGTACAGGCCCGTTTCAAAGACCACGGGCAGGGATGCTGCCGAACGCGTCCAGGGAGTCCTGTGGTGTGGGTGGTAACCAGACAGAGAGGGTTTCCGGTTTTGCAATGACGCATTGAAGCATAGGTGTAAGTGTACGTTTCAAACACGACGTGGTGAAGCACGACGTGGCAGCACGACGTGGCAGCACGACGTGGTGGTGTAAGTGTCCGTTTCAAACACGACGTGCAGGAATGCTGCCACAAAAGCGACCAGGGGTTTCTGTGGAAACCAGACAGGCAGGGTTTAAAGGCAGGGTTTGAGAGTTTGCATTGAAAAATAAAAACATGTAATGATGACGCCATGTATGCATCCAATCAGTGCAGGTTGGATTGCAGGATGCGTAGTGGGTAGTGGGGTATGAGAAGTGGGTCGAGGGTCGAGACTAGTGGGTGTGGGTTAGGAGTCAAGGAAATTAGGAAGGCACACAAACGCATGGGGACTTCGATTGATGCCTCCCGCTATAATCACACGCACAAAGCACAAACCTCATTGGCCTTCGTCCCATCCCCTGCGCCTTCTTTCTCCTCCCCGTTTCCGCTTCCGCTCTTGCTCCCGCCCCCACTCCCCCGCGCGTCCCCTTTCTCCCCCGTTCCCCGCCCCCCTGCGCCTTCCCCCAGCAGCGTGCGCACATCCCGCGCAACCGATTCCAGCTCCGCGGGGTCGCGCAGGCGCGCAATTAGCGCCTCGAACACGGGGCGCAAATTGCGCGCGCGCACATCGTCGGCGATCGCCCTGGTCCAGGCGGGCGCGGGGGGGATTTTTGGGGGGACACGGGCGCGGATATGGTAAGTTGAGGCGTAGTGCTTGCCATGCCACTGCGCGCCATCGCGGGGGAAGGCGGAGGGCGCAAATTGGCAGGCGCGCGGGGAGGGGTGCGAAAGGGCGCTCCTGAGGTTTCACTTGTTTTTAATGGGTGGTGGCTAGCGCTGCCACGTGGTGGATGCTTGCGCTGCCACGTGGCATCATTCACCTGAGGGCGCTGAAGAGATGCGTGGCGAGAGGAATCTCGTCTGCGCTCACATCCACTTCTATCACTATCCTCATCTTGCCCCTCGGTAATGTCACTACTGGGAGACCCACACAGACCGCAGCTATTACCCAATTCAGACAATGTTTCGAAAAAAATATGTCCTCAGCGACCGTGGCAGGCAACCATTGTAGTAGCTGCTTTTATGACCTAGCTGCACAAGCTGATCAGCCGCAGAAACAAAATGGGGCGAAGGAATAAGTAGAAGCAGCAGATTAGTTGTGGTTTTGCCACTTGTTTGCCTAGCGGGACTTGACTGAAATAGAGCTTCATTGAGTGCGCTTCGTTACAACACAGAACTGTTCCTAACTTAAATTTATACCTATGCTTGCGTCTTTGCAATAACTGTATTCTGCTCCAAACTGCGACGCATGACGTGGGTGATGAGCAGAATGTTACTGGTGGATAACATCGCCAGCCATTTGGCATGCGTCCATTGGTGTTTATCCGCACGCTACAGCACGTGGTAGCTCGATTCACGCGGCCGCATGCGATATTTCCGTCCAATCGGTGGCAGACCATGGCGTGGGCCGCATTGAAAAGGCATGACGCAAGGCAACCCCTTTCTTTTACTTTCCCCCGAAATATATTTTGGGAAAAGGATATGTCTTCATGAACAACCTACAAGCTTTGTTTCCTCTGGATTCGCTGTGTTTTAATAAAGGTTCTCGCCAATCTATGTCCAAAAGCGCTCTTCTGGAAAACAATAAACTCATAAATTCTTCAGCTGACGTTTCATGTCATAGTGCAACCCTGTTCCCAAGGTTTCCCTGCCTTGAGAAAAGGCGGGAACGAGATCTGCGTCAGCCAATCGGCAAATGCTGCAACCTCCGCCACCTCCTGCTATCCCCCCTCCTCTCCACACCTTCCCCGCCTCTCGGATCAGATGTCGGTTCCGAAGGGCGAGGTGAGAGCCAGTTTCTTTCAAAAACTCACTCAACCGTTCTATCTTAGAGGAAATTCGTCTTGAAACGCAGCTAAACTAATTGAACCGTATTGAAGTAGAGGCTTATGACACACCCCAAAAGCGGAAGTGGTTATGGCTGGTTCTTAAGGAAGCGGACCTGAGCAGCGATCAGAAAAATGAGGCAGGTTATTAGAGACAGGTTGCCAGTGATCAGCAACTAGAACCTTCATCTTCTGGCATTTTGCTGGTTTCTGCATTGCTTGGCATAGGAATTAGAGGCATTGCTCTGGTGTGATTTGTTTTTTATCGTCACATTCTACAATTCCCGTGCTAACTGCTTGGCTTGCCATGGCTACGTTACGCGTTGCGTCGTCCGCAACAGCTGCAGTCGGAGTATCACCGTGCGCAGTTTCAGCGACCAGGCAACAGCACGCTCAAATCTCCTTCCTAAGCACGGTGAAAAATGCTCCGCTAAGAGCAGCTTCTTATCGAAGCGCAAAAGTTCTCCCCTCGCCAACATTGCGACCCACAGCAGCCTTCTCAGATAATTCTTCTTCCGCATCGCCGCATCGCCATTCGCTCTTACGCTCGGAAGTAGCGATTGAGAATCGCGAAGCTTCGTGGAGCAAGCAATCCGCGGTTGTGACGCGGAGCGGCGATGGCGCAACGGCGGACGCGGCAGCAGTCGATGCGAAGAGCCAGCTGATTAAAACGATTCAGCTGGGATCGCTGTTCGGGCTGTGGTACCTCTTCAACATCTACTTCAACATTTACAACAAGCAAGTAAGTTCCTGATTTAAAATTTGCGGAATTTCACGACAATGAGATCTAGCTAATTGAAGCAATGTGAATTATGTTTCTCATTGACAACATGAATTCGTGCTTCAATAATTCACAAAATTTGCGCATGTTAGTTCTTTCATCTTTGCTAACCGCTACATTCAGTGCAGTTTCGAAGATGTGAAATTGTGTGTTTTTGTAAACATATGAAGTGGGTGCAGATTATGTTTTGAAATTGCGCCAATGGCAGCCAAGGGTCACAATTTTGTCGCCAAAAGGCGTCGAAATTGCGCCAATAAGGGGGACAAACAAAAAAGTAAAGAAAATGCGTTCTGTGACGTCCCGCCTTACCATTTTCCTCTTCCGTGCAGGTGCTCAAGATGTTCCCGTACCCGCTGACCATCACGACGGTGCACGCTATAACGAAAAGAAGTAATAGAAATAATTCTCAAATTCTTGTCAATATATCCCTTCCGCCTCCCGTGCAGGTGCTCAAGGTGTTCCCTTACCCGCTCACGATCACGACGGTGCAATTCGCCATCGGCGCCATCGTGGTGCTGCTGTCGTGGGCCACCAACATCGTCAAGCGCCCCACCATTTCCAAGGCACAGGTGAGACAGGCGCACGCGCAGGGGAGTGAGGCGGCCCTTGGTTGGGCTTGAAAGGTACCGCGATCGTGGTGCTGCCGTCGCGGGCCACCAGCATCGTCAAGCGCCCCACAGTCACTTAAGCGCAGGTGAAAATACGCCTCCTCATCCCCTCTCTCCACGTCGCGTCATCCCATATATACTCGTCCCGTCTGCCTCCATGCCAGTTCCTTCTTTCAAGCTACCCCACCATTTCCAAGGCACAGGTGAGACTGGTTTCTTTTTTAACGACCCGAAGGTCACGGCGACCGTGGTGCTGCTGTCATGGGCCACCAACATCGTCAAGCGTCCTACGATTTCCAAAGCACAGGTGAGGCGCGCGCAACGCGCAGGGAATGAGGCGGCCTTTGGGTGGGCTTGAAAGGTACCGCGATCGTGGTGCTGCTGTCGTGGGCCCCAACATTTTCAAGCGCCCCACCATCTCCAAAGCGCAGGTGAGAATACACCTCTTCATTCCCTCGCTCCTCGTCACCTCATCCTGTATCCAGGCGTCTCGTCTGCTTCCATGCCAGTCCCGTCTTTCCCCCTATTCCAACCCCGCCTCTCAATTCCCTCCCTACTCCCGCTCATCCCTATCTCCCCTCAACCCCATCGCCCCATAACCTCTGCCACTCTCTCCCCCAGCTGCTCGCCATCCTGCCCCTGTCCCTAGTCCACACCATGGGCAACGCGTTCACCAACGTCAGCCTGGGCACGGCGACCGTGTCGTTCACTCAAGCAACCCAGTACCCCACCCCTTACGCTCCCCCTGTTGATTCCTTGATCCCCCAATTTTCAGCTCCTGGCAATCCTGCCCCTGGCACTGGTGCACACCATGGGCAACGCGTTCACCAACGTCAGCCTCGGCAAGGTGGCCGTGTCGTTCACGCACACTATCAAGGCGCTCGAGCCATTCTTCTCCGTCACGCTCTCCGCGCTGCTGCTGGGCGAGGTGAGACTCAGGGCGAGGGGAGGTGGAGGGAGGGTGGGGCAGGGTGAGGGGGATCTATGTGCGTCTAGGCAAGGTGGCCGTGTCGTTCACGCACACTATCAAGGCGCTCGAGCCATTCTTCTCCGTCACCCTTTCTGCGCTGCTGCTGGGCGAGGTGAGTTGGGGAAGGGCATTGTGAAGGGAATAGGTGAGGTGTTTAGACTAGTGTGGGCAGTGTGGACAAGGTGGCAAGGTGGCCGTGTCGTTCACGCACACTATCAAGGCGCTCGAGCCATTCTTCTCCGTCACCCTTTCTGCGCTGCTGCTGGGCGAGGTGAGTTGGGGAAGGGCATTGTGAAGGGAATAGGTGAGGTGTTTAGACTAGTGTGGGCAGTGTGGACAAGGTGGCAAGGTGGCCGTGTCGTTCACGCACACCATCAAGGCGCTCGAGCCATTCTTCTCCGTCACCCTTTCTGCGCTGCTGCTGGGCGAGGTGAGTCACTGCGCGGAAGATCATGGTGGAAGTATGAGAAAGGGATTCGGGAGGAAGGGGAGGAAGAGAAGAAGGCTGGGGGCGGGATGGGGAAGGGATGGGGTGAGAGGGTTTGGGCGTGTTTTTTTAGAATTCTCAAAGAGCACCTGAAGCAGTGTTGGCAAGGTCTCCATCTTCTTCACGCACATCACGTCTTTCCCCCTTGGCTTCCCTGCCCGCCCTCCAGCAACCCACGCTGCCAGTCATCCTCACCCTTATTCCCATCATGCGAGGCGTGGCGCTTAAGAGCTCTCAAGTCTCTCACACCTCCCTTCACCCGTCCCCACTCCTCCCCACCCCTCCAGCAACCCACGCTGCCGGTCATCCTTGCGCTCATGCCCATCGTGGGAGGCGTGGCGCTCGCCTCGGCCACCGAAGCTTCCTTCAACTGGTATGTGCCATGCCGTGCTGTTCGATGACACGTCATGCCATGCCACGCCACGCCGTGCCCATGCCCATGCCCATGCCCATGCCATGCCATGGCCGATGGAGGAGCTGCTCTGCCTTTTTGGTTCAAAGTGCCCGCATGCATCTTCAATCCCCGCATCACATCCTTTCCTGTGTCCGTGATTCTCTGCGTGTAGGGCGGGCTTCCTGTTCGCCATAGCGTCTAACCCCACTTTCCATCCACACCCCTTTGCCCCTTCCTGCACCCCTTTGCCCCTCTCTGCACCCCTTTGCCCCTTTCTGCACCCCTGTGCATCTCTCTGTGCGTGCAGGGCGGGCTTCCTGTCAGCCATGGCGTCCAACCTCACCTTTCAGTCGCGCAACGTGCTCAGCAAGAAGCTCATGATCAAGAAAGACGTGAGAACCCCCTTCTTTTGCATGCCTTACTTGCCTTTGTCCTTGTCTTGTCCTAGTCACCCTTTCACTAGATGCCCTTGTGCTTTCCCCCGGTCAGCTTCTTCTCCGTCATCACCATCCTTTCATTCTTCCTGCTACTGCCGTCCCTCCCTGCTGCTCTTCCCAACCCTGTCCATGCGTCCTTCCCCACCCCCCCCAACCCCCCCACTCCCCACCAACCCCACACCCCACCCCCCCTCTGCAGGCGTCACTGGACAACATAAACCTCTTCTCCATCATCACCATTCTCTCCTCCTTCCTGCTGCTGTCGCTGATGCTGCTGCTGCTCCTCACTCTTCAATAACCGCCCGCTCTCCACTACCTCCCTTCCCTGCACCCGACTCTCTCACACCAGGCCTCGCTGGACAACATAAACCTCTTCTCCATCATCACCATTCTCTCCTCCTTCCTGCTGCTGTCGCTGATGCTGCTGCTGCTCCTCACTCTTCAATAACCGCCCGCTCTCCACTACCTCCCTTCCCTGCACCCGACTCTCTCACACCAGGCCTCGCTGGACAACATAAACCTCTTCTCCATCATCACCATCCTCTCCTTCTTCCTGCTGCTGCCCGTCGCACTCCTCACAGAGGGCATCAAGTTCAGCCCCAAGCTGCTGCAGGCGCAGGTACGTACGAGCCACTTGCAGGTATGACAGGCGCAGGTATGGCTGGCGCAGGTATGGCAGGCGCAGGTATGGCAGGCGCAGGTATGGCAGGCGCAGGTATGGCCCTACCCATCCATCTCTGTTGTTCCATTCTTGCCCATGTGTCTTTCTTCGGTACACACGCTGTCAATGCGTAGGCGTGCATAGAGGCTGTTTGTCCCATCACCTAGTAGCATATTCTACGTTCTCTCTCTTCCCTTCTTCACGCCTCATTTTCCGCTTCGTCCCCCGTTCCTTTCTTCCCCATCGCCCACCCTGCCAGGGAGTGGACGTGCGGAGGCTGATCGTCCAATCCACTGGATAACATGTTCTGTGTTCTTTTTTTCTCTCTTTTCCTCCCTTTCCTTCCATTCTTTCCCGCCTCCTCACTTCTTCCCAAACTCCCACCCTGCCAGGGAGTGGACGTGCAGAGGCTGATCGTCCGATCCACGCTCGCTGCCCTCTGTTTCCATGCCTACCAGCAGGTACGGTGCTTCCATACCTACCAGCAGGTGCCTCCATGCCTACCAGCAGCTATGGGTGCTTCCATGCCTACCAACATGTGTAGCCCAATTGTGTCGCTGTCCTGGATTTAGAATCTGCAGTGGATTCGTTTTCCTTTTTGGGGAGCGGCATACTTCGTCCATTCTCCCTTCCTCTCTGTCTCTCTCCCTCCCGCTCCGCACTTCGCTGCTCACGTCCCTTCATTCCTTTCTCTCTTGTGCAGCTACTTTCACATGATTCGCCAGTGTGTTTCTCCAGTCGCCCTCTCTCTGCCTCCCCTTCTTGTGCCAACTTACCACGCCATTCCTCTCTCCCCTTCTCTCTGCCAGTTGTCTTACATGATTCTGCTGCGTGTCTCCCCAGTCACCCATTCCGTTGGCACAGCCTGTCAATCCATTCCACTCCTCTTTCCCCTCCCTCCTCCCCTTCCCCTCCTCTTTCCCCCCAATCCCCCCCCCTCTCCTCTCTTCTCTCTCCTCCAGGTCTCGTACATGATTCTGCAGCGTGTCTCCCCAGTCACCCACTCGGTCGGCAACTGCGTTAAGAGAGTCATCGTTATAGTCACATCCGTGCTCTTCTTCCGAACCCCCGTCTCCCCGATTAACGCCATTGGTACGTGCTTAACAACCTCCTATGTGTCAACACTCGTTACAGTCACATCTGTGTCATGTCATGAGAGTCATCGTTATAGTCACATCCGTCCTCTTCTTCCGAACCCCCGTCGCCCCTTGAAACGCCATTGGTACGTGCTTCTTATAGGCTTTGAGCACCCGCCATTGGTACGTGCTCAACGACCTCCTGTAAGCCTGCGCTCATTCCACCAAATCAATGCCATTTGTATGTGCATGCAAGAAGACAAACAAGACACACTCTAGCCGTGTTTCTTAGTCGTTTGACATGTTCAAATTGATCTGTTCTGTTTTCCGCTTTCCCCCATTATCTTGCTGCATGTAGGCACTGCGATTGCACTGGGGGGTGTGTTTGCCTATTCTCGTGCCAAGTCATCCAAGCCCAAGGCTGCATAGGGTCATATGGCTTGAATCTTAATAAATAGGTCGTTCCTGTTTGGGACGTAGTTTTTTTTAGGTAGACATTTTGTGTGTAGAAGGGGAGTTTATCTCATATCCATGCTTGGAAGTTGTAGCTGCTGTAGTAAGCAAAGGCACCCTGAGATATCAGAGTAGACTTACCCCCTGAGATTCTGTATTCGTCAGTGGCCTATGCAAGCGATTTTTCCATGTGTAGCGTCAGTTCCTGACTTGGACATGGTATAGCAGGCTCTACGATGTAGCGTGTTGTATTCAGTACGCAAGTTATTCACGTGAATAGGAAGGAATGAGGAGGTTCGGTATTACATGATGCACGCTCGGTACAGTCACTGAAAGATCCTGAGTTGAAACTCGATGTAGGCACATCTTGCTGCATGTAGGCACTGAAACTCGACATGCCGAAGGTGGAATTTGCAAGAATGTCATCCAGGTGCAGCGCGTCATGTGCCCTGCCCTGACACCCGAGTCCCTCCCAAGTCCCGAACCGACATCATACAGATTGGCCTCGTGTAGGCGGAACTGTTTTTGAGGGCCAAGCTTTTCCCGAGGTTGTTCAGCCTCGACTGACACCTGTAGGAACTCCTGGTGCCAACTGTCAGGCGGACACTCCCAAGGCAGAACTGAAAGGGACCCACCTGGTCCCAAGTGCGAAGTCTTCTACCTGAGATACCACCAAACTTGTGCTCGTCTTTTGTGTATGACAAGATGCGATTATGGACGGCACGGCCGTGCAAATATAACTGGTGGAGATTTGTCCCAAGTCGCGAGACTTGTCTGGTCTGGTTGCCAAATCGTTGGTGTTTGGATGGAAACCACTGAGCGAGCGGTTGAAAAAGGGGCAGCACCTACGTTTGAGGACTCCGGTCCGGTAACCCTTGTGAGTGGTGTCATATTTGAGAGTGCCACATACAAATGGCAGGAGTCCACGGAACTCCAAATTCGTGCGACATGATGACACTGATAAGCCCTGGTGTAGAATTTCCATACACTGCCTTCGTAAACAAGGTACTCTGGCGGACCAATTTGATTGCCACCTGACCTAATCAAACTTTCTGTGTGCAGCTTGCTGTCGCGAACATTGTCGCTTCTTCCCATAGTGCTTCTTGGCGCGACGTGACGCACGGCAGTTTTCATCTACAATTTTGGGGTTCACCTGGTGTAAATACATTCCGGTCTCCCCATTTCCTGTATTTTTTAGTAGCATTTAACAAATAAGTCACATGGATCCGTGTGTATTTGACGTGCCATCCTCATATCCCTTCAGATAATATCCGGTTTCATGAAGAGCACTTAAAAAATATATATATATATATTTTGGAACGGTGTGGTGTGGTGTGTTGAGATGCAATGGAGTTTCAAGTGCTCGCCCTACATTCTGAAATGTGTGTCCTGCGACGCGACCTCGCTCGGAGCCGCGATTCTGAACTTCTCCAACCTGAGAGGGAATGACGGAGCGCCCTGGTTTCGGGTTTCCGATTCCTTTGGGCAGTGGTTTTGACAGCGCCTCGCTTCGCGCTCGCGTCCGATACCTTCGGTCAGTAAATTACGCTATTTTCCCATTTGGAGTCCAGAAACTACAACTTTGTTTTATTTAATGGGACAAAAAATATAAACCCCTCACGGGGGGGACGCCGTTAGGGAGGCATCAACCCTAAACACCATGAGGCAAGGTGTTTAGGGTTGATGCCTCCCTAATGGCCAGCCCTCCGAAAGGGGTTTATTTTTTTTCACTGGCCACTAGACTAATACCAGGTAAACTTAATAATTTTTCTGGTCACCGGAAACTGGAAATGTCGAAATCAGCTGCCCCAAGGAATCGGACGCGAGCGGAAAAGCGAGGCGGTGTCAAAGCCACTGCCCAAAGGAATCGGAAATCCGAAACCGGGGCGGTTCGTCATTTCCTCCCAACCTGAGCTGTGGCCTTGATCGCTTCGCAAATTTCTGATCATAAAAGCACCAGTAATCTTAGTTCCCCATCATCAACCTCTCCACTTTCCAAGAAACGTGCAACGAAGGAGCACTGCTCCACCCTTCCGCCATGGCTTCCAACTCCGTGTTTGCTGCTGTGCTCCTCCTCGCTCTCTCCCTACCCTTCGTCCTTGCTGGAAACGCTGCTGGCGCGGAAAAATCGTCTCAGTCCAACTATCAGTATGATGCTAACGGGAACATTATCCTGTCTCCCGCGGGGAACAACAACAACAACGGCAACGGGCAGGGCACATCTGCGGCCGTGATCGATTGGTACAACGATGAGGAGTATCCCACTTGCCCGCTTAAAGCCTGCCCGGAATTCAAGCACTATTGCTCGGGCGGCATGTGCAACGACACGGCCGGCATCCTCGGCCGCTGGAGGGTGAGACTACTCTCGGATTCCAGAATTGGCAGATCTGATCTGGAATTGCGTATTAAAATTCCGCCGATTCCTATGCCTCAATTCTCGCGTCACAGTGATATCTCAATTCTCCCGATCTCCGGTTCTGTTACTCGCGTTACTGTAAAATATTTATTCTCCTAATCTCGGGTTGTGTTTGCCTCTCCTACGACCGTCACCTTGCGCAGCTCCCCGAGCAGTCGTCGCTCGTGTGTCCGCCGGGGCGCGCCAATCCGAAGCCCAACAACGAGTGGTGCATCGGAGAGCTCACACCGTCGCAGTGCTGCAAGGCGTGCTCCGAGAGCAAGGAGCCATGCGCCATGTGGCAGCACTACATTGGGTGAGTGAATTCCCAAGTTTCTTCCCCGTCTCGGCCTATTACTATTTCTTTTACCTTAATCTTATTTTCTTCTTTTCGTTTCCTCCATTTCATTTTCCTGCTTCTTTCTCACGCAGAACCGTTAACCCGTCCGGCAAGTGCCTCAAGTGCGGCATCTGCTGGCTGTATCCGCCCGGCACGGCGCCGCGGTGCGAGACGCAGCTTGACAACAACAACGGCTACCGCATCAAGTACAACTGCTCGCGCATCGGCGGAAGCTGCCCCTACACCAAGAACGACCCGCACTTCCAGGGCGCGCAGGGCACTCGCTTCGAGTTCAACGGCGCTCCGGAGAAGACTTTCTGTCTGCTGACGGATCGCAACGTGCACGTGAACATGCAGATGCGCGGATACTACGACTCGCGCACCGTCGGCGCGACGGTTCTGCGCAACGGTAAGGCGGTGCGCACGTGGATCCGCGCGCTCGGGTTCGTGTGGCGCGCGGCGGCCGGGGAGGCGGAGCACAAGTTCCGCCTGGTTGCGCGCGGGGGGAAGCAACAGGAGCGCGGGGACGGGTTCCTGGAACTCGCGGAGATGGACGGGAAGGTCCTTCCGCGCATGACCAAGGGAGGGGAAACCCTCTCCCTCCCCGGAGGCCTCACCTTCGCTTATATCGGGGTCGAGACCGGCGGGTTCGTGAAGGACGTGTACCGTGTGACTATTGCGGGGCTTCTGGACATGGAGATCAAGCTGCGCGTCGCGCACCCTCTGTTGCAAACACCTGACGACGCCGAGGCTCACATCAACGTGGCGTTCGACGGCGTGGAGGCGACGGAGCAGGTTCACGGGATCATCGGCCAGACGTACCGCGAGGGCCGCGAGAAGCGCGCGATGGATTACAACACGCTCGCGCACGTGCTCGGGCACCCCGTCGCGGCGGACGCGGAGGAGGGTGCGGGGTTCCTGGACGGCAAGACCGCGGATTACGAGTCGTCGTCCGTCCTCGCGGCGGATTGCAGATTCTCCGCGTTCAACGGGAAGGCGCTGCCGCTGACCGAGTAGACTGAATTGACTGCTGTATTCCGATGGGTCTCGTCGGACCTAACTGGTCCGTTGTATTGTATGACGTCACCGTCTTGGTCTCCTCGTTTTGCCTTTTCTGGTGGGCTGGTTCTCTCCTCCCTTTCGGTGGGCTGATCGGTGGGCTGCTCTGCTCTTCCTCCTCGCTGCGGCTCCTCCCGGTGGGCTGCGTCCATTCTATTCTTCTCGGTGAACTGCAACCATGCTGCGTTAATTGGTCGGCTGGTTCCGTTCGCCGCTTTTCTGGTGGGCTGCGTCTTCTGCTGTGGGCTGATTTCCCTGCCCTCCTAAAGTGGAATTCGTGTTTCGTAATTGATGGTATGCCTCATTGCTGAGTCATCTTGAGCAATCAAACGCCCAGTTTCTCAGCCGACTGTCGTAACTATAAGGATCCGTGAACTATCTGGCATTGACGCTCACTCACTGCCTAAGGTAGCATAAATTGCCGAGGTAGGTAGGAAAGAGGGGGACGAGACCTGAAAACGATGAATGATGGGGCTGCTTATATTTTTGCTCAGAAAAAGATGCTTTTCTTTGCATCAAGTTTACGGGTTGCCGCGATTTGCAGCTGCCTCGTGCTGTAATTTTGCATCCAATTTCGGCCGCGACGAAACCACACTGTCGCCTGCGTCGCATCCACCTTTCGTGTCGCGTTCGCATTGGCGACACGGGAACCAAAGTCTATCCACAACTTCCTGCAAACTGGCACGCAAGCACACCTATATAACCAGGTAACCTGGCTGGCTCTCGACAATACTGTATTCCCAAGCGAAGCACGTGTGGCACCCCAAGTTGTCGCGACTGCATCACATTTTTTCGTGAACAGTTTAGCGAAACTAAAAAGGTCGTTGTTCTCTTCGCACAGCGCGTTCATGCGACGATTTTCGGGATTGCTCTTGTAACAAGCTTGAACACGTTTCAGACAGATGCAAAACAAAGATGCTATGATTCTCGATACTGCCACCTAGCAACACTCCGCTCGGCAGAAACGGCGAGATACAGTACAGGTGATTAATTTACGGGACGAAGGCAGTTTCGCTCAGCATTTTGTGATTCCCCGTCACCATTTCCAAATCTGCGTGCTTCTGTGTCACAATCTAGAATCGCATCCAACGCCTCTCCAAACGTTCCGTAAACCACGTGTTATGAGCTCATTTGCTCTAAGCAAACCGTTCGCGACCTGCCATGCGGGAGCTGCTGTATGCCACGCCGCGAGACTCGCCGTAAATTACGCCGTGGAATGCGGAAGCGTGGTGACGAGCAATGTCAGGGTTTGCAGCAGCCGAGCTAGCAGCGACATCAGCAGCAGCAGCAGAAGCACGGGCGGTAGCAGAACGGCGAGCGGCAGCAGCAGCAACATCGCCAGTACCAGGAGCGGTAACAGCAACAGTAACAACAGCGGTAACAGCAGCAGGAGCAGCAGAACAGGAAGAGGTGTCAGTGGCAAGAACAGGCGTCAAACAGAACGCCTTGAAACTGATCCAGTAGTCACTTCCACCAGATTTACCTTCCCCTCTACTGAATCCGCCTCCCTTCCGTCACGGCCCCCTTCCTCTTCCCCCGCCCCGTCCGCCTTCCCGCTCTTCTCCGCCCCCTTGCCCGCGGTGCTTCCCCCGCCGCCCTCTCTCCCTCACCTGCTTCCCAGGCAGCAGCAGCGACTGGCGCTCTATCTCGACCTGCTTTTGGACTGGAATCAGGTGATTTTTCAGGTGGTATTTCAGGCGACGCCAAGCATCACTAGCTTGCTTTTTTACTGGTTCAATGCGGGTCTGCAGGGGGCAGGGTTTAAGACTGGGGTAAGGACTCGGGTTCAGGGTTTCATACATTCAGTTTTGGGTGTATACCTCGAATGAGCACGTTCTCCCTACACCCCCTCCAAACCCAACCCCACTCCCACCTCCCCCCCCCAACCCCCCCCCACACCTTCCATTTTCCCTTGGCTTTCATGCCCCTTCCCCATTTTCACCCATCTTCTCCCCCCTTTCTCCCCCCTCCCCCCCCCCCCCCCTTCCCAGCGCATGAACCTGACAGCAGTGTCCAGTCGCACAGAAGCAGAGCAACGTCATATAGCTGACTCCCTCATCCCCCCCTTTTCTACGTCTTTTCCCTGCTTTCTCTCCCTCTTCCTCCTTCCTCGCCGCCTCTTTCCCTCTCCCCCATCAGCGCATGAACCTGACAGCAGTGTCCAGTCGCACAGAAGCAGAGCAACGCCACATAGCCGACTCCCTCTCACTCATCCCTGTCATCTTGGCCCTCACAGCACCACCGCTCTCAACCGTGCCATCTGCTGCTGCACCACTCCCTACCGCATCCCCTCCTACCGCATCCCTCCCTACTGCACCACTCCCCACCGCACAAATCCCTACTGAACCTCCTTCCACCGTACCTCTTCCCACAGCACCACTCTCCACTGCACTCTCTGCTCCCAAGCGCACCATAGACCCCCCCACTGCGGCACCGTCCCCTGCTGCGCCACGTGGCACGCTGCGATTGGTGGATGTGGGCACGGGAGCGGGGCTACCAGGTGTCGTGCTGGCAGTGGCCCAGCCCACGTGGCATGTGACTCTGGTAGAATCTCTAAACAAGAGATGCGATTTCCTGTCGCATGTGGTGCAGCGGTTGGGGCTGAGTAACGTTCAAGTGGTGTGTGGGAGAGCAGAGGTGAGAGTGTGTGGAAGGGCACTCTTCCCAGCAGTTAACGACTCAGCACGGCATAGCCCCCATAGCACAACCCTCACAGCACACCCTCTCAGCTCACCCCACGTGGCACGTCACCCCGAGTAACGTTTAAGTGGTGTGGGGAAGAGCAGAGGTGAGAGAGTGTTTGCCCACTGTTGCACACCCCACGTGGCAAGTCACTCTGGTGCAATTTCTGAACAGGAGTAGTGACTTTCGCATGTGGTGCAGCGCTTGGGACTGAATAATGTGCAAGCAGTGTGTGGGAGAGCAGAGGTGAGTGTGTAAGGGGGAGGGAAGAGGTGAGAGCGCGGGTGCTAGGCTTACCAGCCATGGGACAGTGGCAGCGACAGCCCACATGGCATGGCACGTGAATGGCACGTAATGTTGGCGATGCGTTCCTAATTCCAAAGTCCTGCTGTCAGAACTCCCTTTCGCGCAGATTCAGTACCCCTTTTGGACTGTCTCAGTTCCCCCCAGATTCAGTTCCCCACGGATTCAGTTCCCCGCAGATTCAGTTCCCCGCAGATTCAGTTTGCCACAGATTCAGTTCCCCAGATTCAGTTCCCCTTTCCATATCTCCTCTACAGTTCGGTTTGTGCCGTCATTCCTTCTCAGAGCCTTTCTCGCGTTCACCCTCGGCTGCGGGGCTTTGTCAAACTCTGTCTGCTATTCGCCTTCTTCCTCCGCTACCTCTTTTCCTGTGCGCCCTGCCGCCCTCACCTGCGGAGCTCGTCACTCTGTCTCGTGAGAAGCGCCTAGCTCGTAACTGACACCTCGTTGCTGCTCTTCCACCCACCAGGTATGCACGAGCCCATCTGTTGTCTCAGCCGTGTCCCATTCACAACAGCTTGTTGCTCACCTGCCACCTCCACACACGAGATGGGCAAGGCCATCCTGTTGCGTCAGTGGTGCCCATCTGGTATGTGGAGGCGACAGGTGAGCAACAAGCTGTTGTTAATGGGGTACGGCTGAGACAACAGTTGGGCTCGTGCATACCTGGTGGGTGGAAGAGCAGCAACGAGGTGTCAGTTACGAGCTAGGCGCTTCTCACGAGACAGAGTGACGAGCTCCGAAGGTGAGGGCGGCAGGGCGCACAGGAAAAGAGGCAGCGGCGGGAAGAAGGCGAATAGCAGACAGAATTTGACAAAGCCCCGCAGCTAAGAGTGAACGCGAAAAAGGCTCTGAGAAGGAATGACGGCACAAACCGAACTGTAGAGGAGATATGAAAGGGGGAACTGAATCTGGAGAACTGAATCTGCGGGAAACTGGATCTTCGGGGAACTGAATCTGCGGGGAACTGAATCTGTAGGGAACTGAATCTGCGGGGAGCTGAATTTGTTCAAAAGGGGTACTAAATCTGCGCGAAAGGGAGTTCTGGCAGCAGAACTTATCTGTTCCTAAACTCTAAACATCAAACCCCTCTCCGTTCACCTCTCCTTCCCACTGTGCTGCTACAGGGGGTGGGGAGGGATCCGGTCTACAGGGAGGTGTACGAGCTGGTTGTGTCATGCCGTTGGAAATAGAAACTGGTTTGAGACGTCTCAAAGCACTTCTTCATACACGTGGCGTACGATCTGGCTGTAGCATGCCGTTGGAAAGAGAAACTTGGGCTAATCTTTATCCCACGACCCACCTGCTCCCCATCCACCACGTGTTGATACAGGATGTGGGGAGGGACCCAGTTCACAGGGAGGCCTACGACCTGGCTATAGCGCGGGCTGTAGCGGAGATGAGAGTGCTCAGTGAGTCAAGAGGCGGGTTGTAGCGCAGCTTGTAGCAGGGGAGGTGGGAAGGGACCCGGTTCACAGGAAAGCCTACGACCTGGCTGTAGCACGGGCTGTAGCGGAGATGAGGGTGCTCAGTGAGTCAAGAGGCGGGTTGTAGCGCAGCTTGTAGCAGGGGAGGTGGGAAGGGACCCGGTTCACAGGAAAGCCTTCGACCTGGCTGTAGCGCGGGCTGTAGCGGAGATGAGGGTGCTCAGTGAGTCAACAGGTTACAGGAGGGAGGCGGGTGATATGTGAGGGAGGTGGGATCACAGGAATCTACCCTGGTCCATTTTGTTGAAACAGCCACCTGGCTCTGCTTCAGCTGTCAGCTAGTCTGTCGTTTTCACCTGAACAACCACCTGACACCTTCCTCCCTCTTCCCTGTGCCCTGTCTTCAGATGAGCTCTGTTTGCCCCTGGTTCGAGTGGGAGGTGCCTTTATAGCCGCCAAGGGGCCCAACCCTCAGGTTAGTTCTCAGGTGCCACTTCAGGTGGTTAGACAACTCAGGGCCCATCCTCTAGTTCTCAAGAGCCGCTTCAGGTGCTTCGATGCCACTGGGCCCAATCCAACCCTCAGGTGTGTCTTCAGATGGCATTTCAGGTGCTGCCAGGGTGTTATATCAACTCGTCCTGCATTCCTTACAGCGTTTAGGACGCCTCGAAACTCGAATTTTCTGTGCATTCCCATTCTCTGCGTTCCTCCGTGCACCGGACAGGAGGAGGTGGCAGCAGCGTCTGACTCTGCTTCTCTGCTCGGTGCTCAACTCGTTCGAGTCTATGAGGGTGGGTATTACCGCATAGCAACCTTTTTGCCCTTGGCAGCTTCCTTTTTTACCTGCTTCTCGCCTTGGAGAGCTTGTGTCACCTCTCTCTTTTTTTTTGTCTCCCACTTATCACCCTCCTCTCATCCTTTCTCCCCAACGCACCACAGTGGCATCTTCAAACACCAACGGCCAACGCACAGCAGTGATCTACAAGAAGGTTGTGCCTACAGCTTCCAAGTACCACTGAAAGTCGTGCCAATGTGCTCATCTGTCCTCCCGCACCTTCCCCTCCTCTCCCCTCACCCCAACACAGTGGCATCGTCAAACACTAACGGCCAGCGCACAGCAGTGATCTACAAGAAGGTTGAGCTAACTCCTTCCAAGTACCCAAGGCGACCTGGAATGCCCTCCAAGCGACCACTGTGACTCATCAGAAGGACAATGACGTTTCGTGGTGAAAACGGCTGCGGCTTTATGACACCTGAATCTGCTTACATTTGCAAATCAGCGCACAGCAGTGATCTACAAGAAGGTTGAGCTAACTCCTTCCAAGTACCCAATGCGACGCAAAATGCCCCCCAAGCGGCCGCTGCGATTCAGTGTGGAAAAAAACAGACAAAATGAGATAGAAGAGCTGCATATACTGTAGACGACGCTGTGTTTACCATGTGAAAGATGCTAAGGACGTGACCCCTACTGTGGATCAATGGAGGATCGTCGGCTTACACCGAATCTAGGCATCAGAATTTGAAAGCACAGCCAAGAATGCATGCGGTAAAAGAAAAAGGTCAAGTCCTACACATGGTACATCAAACAACTACGGGTGGAAAGAAACAAAGTCATTGGCTAATTGCTACACGCTTTTTACAAATAGATCTACAGAAAAAAACTAGCAGTCAATCTAAATCGTTTATACCGTATAACGTCTATGTCAGGGGCCTGAGCAGCTGAGCTCCAAAACCAAGCAAGCAGCAAGAAGCTGCCAAAGGAAAGAAAAGAAACCAAGAAAAAGTGCTTTCAGAAGCACCCCTACTCATAACCTGTAACATTATTAGCGCTGCCAGTTAATCGCTATAAGCAGCTGAAACCTGTCTCGTGGTGTACCTGTATAGATGTGACGCCAGCTCCCCACTCCACAGCAGAGCACCCCACTAGTAGTACTACTGTGGATAGCTTGACTGCTGGTAACAACATTCCTAGCAGCTATGGCTATGTCAGGCTGTAAGAGAGAGGATCACAGTGCCTGCCTGTGTGAGCTGTGAGCTGCGTGCCCGTGTGCCGCCCTGTGCCCGTGCCTGTATGCTCCACAGTGCCTTACTTTCCAACGTAACCTTCCCTTGCTCTAGCTTTTGCTAACTTGTGCTGTAACTGCTGCTCCTTTCTGCTCTCCCTCTCTCCACACCTCTGGCAATCACAAATGCTGCTTCTCCTCAGGTGCCTTCCCCTCAGGTAATTTTCCCTCAGGCGCCTTTCCTTCAGGTACCTTCCCCTCAGGTGCCTTCCCCTCAGGTGCCTTCCCCTCAGGTGCCTTCCCCTCACGTGCCTTCTCCTCAGGTGTCTTTCCCTCAGGTGGCTTTTCCTCAGGAGCCTTCCCCTCAGGTGCTTTTGCCTCAGGTGCCTTTCCCTCAGGTGCCGTTCCCTCAGGTGCCTTCTCCTCAGGTGCCTTTTCAGGCTCAGCTTGCTCCACAGGTTCAGGTGGTTGCACAGACGCAGGTGGTTCTTCAGATCGAATCCCATTCCCCCCTGCAGATGCGAGATCGGGGGTCTTACTCTCGTCAACTTCAGGTGTTTTCTCAGGAGCAGATGGGCTTGCAGACTGAACTTCTTTTTCCTCCACCACCTGCTTTCCAGGCACTGACTGTGTCTCAGCCTCAGGTCGTTCCTCGAGTGCGGGTGCCTTTCCAGGTGCCTTTCCAGGTGCCCCTCCAGATGCCTTTTCTTTACCAGCTGCATCTTCCTTCCCAGCTGCAGGTGCTCCTTCAGGCGTTTTTTCAGGTGCATTATCCTCCACACCTCCAACCTCCCCAGTCGCCGTCCTCTTCTCAGAAACACCCTCCCGTTTTATGTCCAGCTGTGCCGCACGGTCCGCACCCTCCACTAGTGCTTCTCCCTTCACATCTCCAACCACCTTCGCACTGCCTGCTGCTGTAGTCTCTGTTCCACATTCTTGCACTGCTGCAACCATTTTCCCAGCTGCAAGCTCCTTTTCAGATGAGTCCGTTTGTTCTGAGTCCAGTTGTTTTGCACCCTCCTTCCCTGCTTCTCCCTTCTCGCCTCCAACCATACCTCCTGCTGCCGTTTCTGTTGCACCTTCTCGCGCTGCTGCAGGCTCCTTCTCAGATGAATGCACCTGTTCTGATTCCGCCTGTGCTGCACCTTCCTTTCCTGCTGTTTCTCCCTTGGCAGCCCCACCCACCACTGCAGCCACCGTTCCCGCTGCAGGCTCATTCTCAGGTGAATGCACCTGCTCTGTGTCCTCTTGTTCCGCACCCTCCTTCCCTGCTTCTCCCTTCACACCCCCAACCACCTCCTCTGGTCCAACCGCTTTCTCACCTCCACCTGCTCCCACTGCTGCAAACACCTTCCCACCTGCAAAATCCTCCTTTAGTGAACCAGCCTGTATAGGATCAGGTTGTTTCGCACCTTCCTTCTCTGCTTCTCTCCTCTCACCTCCAAACAACTTCGAGGCTTCACCCACTTTCACTCCTGCAGCCATCTTGTTTGCAACAGGCTCTATTTCAGATGAACCGGCCTGTTCTGAGTCCAGCTGTGCCGCTGCCACACCCTCCTTCCCTGCTTCCCCCTTCGCACCCTCCTCTGCTTCTCCCTTCTCACCTCCAACCACCTTCACAGCTTCAGTCACCACATCAGATGCAGCCATCTTGCTATCGGCATGCTCCTTTTCAGATGAACTTGCCTCTTCTGAGTCCAGCTGTGCCCCTGCCGCAGCCTCCTTCCCTGCTTCTTCCTTCGCACCAGGAGCAGGAGCAGAAAGAGCGGGGAGAGCAGAAGCAGCAGGGGGCGCAGAAGCGGCAGGAGGGGCAGAAGCAGCAGGAGGAGCAGAATCGGCAGGAGCAGAAAGAGCAGGAAGAGCAGAAACAGCAGCAGGATCAGAAGCAGAAGCAGCAGCAGGAGAAGGAGCAACAGCAGTAGTAGCAGGTGCAGGCGCAGGAGCAGGAGAAGGAGCAGGAGGAGCAGGAGCAGCGATAGGAGCAGGAGCAGCAGGGGCAGCAGGGGGAGCAGACACAGCAGGAGGAGCAGACACAGCAGCGGGAGCAGACACAGCAGCGGGAGCAGACACAGCAGCGGGAGCAGCAGAGGCAGAACCAGAAACAGCAACAGGGGCAGAGATAGAAGCAGGATAAGACGCAGCAGCAGAAGCAGAAGCAGCAGCAGGAGAAGGAGAGGGAGCAGGAGTAGCCGGAGGAGCAGGAGGAGCAGCAGGAGGAGCAGCAGCAGGAGTAGCCGGAGGAGCAGCAAGAGGAGTAGCAGCAGGAGCAGAAGAGCCAAGGCCTAATCCCATCCCCATCAACCGTCTCTGCTCCCTGCCACCCTCCACCTCTGCTGCCTTCCCTCCTCCTTCCACCTCTGCTGCCTTCCCTCCTCCATCCACCTCTTTTTGTCCAAATCCTGTCCTTCCTTCCTCCCCTTCCACCTTTTGTCCCACTCCCTTCGGTCCCTCCTCCGCCTCCTTTTGTACCTCTCCCTTCCTTCCCTCCTCCGCCTCCTCCGTTTGCCCCTCTCTCTTCCTTCTCTCCTCCACTTCGATTCCTTCTACTCTTTTCTCTTCCTTCCCTGCATCACTCTCGTCCCCTCTTATCTTTTCAGATTCTCTTGTCCCTCCAGGAGCTCCGACTTTTCCCTCAAATGAGACCCCTTCCTTTTCCTCCCCAGTGCTCTCCTTCCCTTCCTTCTTCTCTGTTTTCCTCCTTCCCTGTTTTCGCGTCCCCTGCTTTCGCCTCCGCTGTTTTCACCTCCCCTGTTTTCTCCTTCCTTGTTTCCTCCCCCCCTGCTTTAGCCTCCCCTGCTTTTACCTGCCCGGTTCTCCTGTCCTGTTTTCCTCCCTTGTTTTCCTCCTCCCCTGTACTCGCCTCCCTGTTTTCACCTCCTCCCCTGTTTTCACTTCCTCCCCTGTTTTCACCTCCTCCCTTGGTTTCACCTCCTCCCCTGCTTTCACCTCTTCCCTGTTTTCACCACCTCCTCCCTGCTTTCACCTCCTCCCCTGCTTTCACACCTCCCCCCTGCTTTCACCTCCTCCCCTGCTTTCATCACACCTCCTCCCCTGCTTTCACCTCCTCCCCTGCTTTCCCCTCCTTCCCTGCTTTCACCTCCTCCCCTGCTTTCACCTCCTCCCCTACGTTCACCTCACCTCCTCCCCTGCTTTCCCTTCCTCCGTCACCCCCCCCAGAAGCACCCCAACCCTTGCATCCGCCACACCATCCCTGCCAGTCCTCTTCACCAAAGCCCAAATAATCTCTCTCCCTGAATCAGAAGCCGCTGTCTCCCCAGCCACCTGCTCCCTCTCCTCTGCTACTTTCTCCCCCCACCATCTGCTCCTTCTCTCCCCCCTCCTTCCTCAAAACACTATCTTCCCCCTCTTTTGTCAATCCACTATCTTCCCCCTCTTTTGTCAATCCACTATCTTCCCCCTCTTTTGTCAATCCACTATCTTCCCCCTCTTTTGTCATCCACTATCTTCCCCCTCTTTTGCCAATCCACTCTCTACCCCCACCCCCGTTTTCCTCAATCCACTCTCTACCCCTCCCTCCTCTCCTCTTTCCACCATCTCCCTGGTCTCTCTCCCCTCCCCACTTTCTTCACCATCTTCCTTCTCTCCACCTTCGCTCCCTTCTTTCCTCTTCCCACTCTCTCCCCCATCCTTCCTCTTCTCGCCTTCATCCCCTTCTCTCCTCTCCCTTGCTCCACTCACCACAGCCTCAATCATTCCACCGTCGTCCTTGTGTTCTCCCTTCCCGTCAAGCGGTCCTTCTCTCTCATCACTCACAGCTACCCTCGCAAGCCCCCTCTCCTCACTCCCTCCCCTCTCTTCTTTCCCTACTGTCTCCTCCCCTCCCTCCCTCCTTCTCGATACCTAACCCTTTCCTCCCGCCTCCGCTTCCCTCTCCTCCCTTCTCTCCCCTCTCCTCCTTCTCTCCCCTCTCCTCCTTTCCCCTCTCTCCTCCTCATCTCCCCTTCCTCCTTCTCTCCCCTCTCCCTCCTTCTCTCCCCCTCCTCCTTCTCTCCTCCCCTCCTCCTCCTTCTCTCCCCTCTCCTCTCTCCCCCTCTCCTCCTTCGCTCCCCTCTCCTCCTTCTCTCCCCTCTCCTCCTTCTCTCCCTCTCTCCTCCTTTCCCCTCTCCTCCTCATCTCCCTCCCCTTTCCCTCCTTCTCTCTCTCCCCTCTCCTCCTTCTCTCTCCCCTCTCCTCCTTCTCTCCCCTCTCCTCCTTCTCTCCCCTCTCCTCCTTCTCTCCCCGCTCCTCTTCCCTCGCCCTCTCCTCCTTCTCCTCCCCTCTCCTCCTTCCTCTCCCCCTCCCTCCTTTCCCCTCTCCTCCTCATCTCCCCTTTCCTCCTCCTTCTCCTCCCCTCTCCTCCTTCTCTCTCCCCTCTCCTCCTTCTCTCCCCTCTCTCCTCCTTCTCTCCCCTCTCCTCCTTCTCTCCCCTCTCCTCCTTCGCTCCCCCTCTCCTCCTTCTCTCCCCTCTCCTCCTTCTCTCCCCTCTCCTCCTTCCCCTCTCCTTCTCCTCCTCATCTCCCCTTTCCTCCTCTTCTCTCCCCTTCTCCTCCTTCTCTCCCCTCTCCTCCTTCTCTCCCCTCTCGCTCCTTCTCTCCCCTCTCCTCCTTCTCTCCCCTCTCCTCCTTCGCTCCCCTCTCCTCCTTCTCTCTCTCCCCTCTCCTCCTTCTCTCCTCCCCTCTCCTCCTTCTCCCCTCTCCTCCTCATCTCCCCTCTCCTCCCTCGCTCCCGTCTTCCTCTCTCTCCCTCTCCTCCTCTCTCCTCCCCTCCTCCTCCTTCTCTCCCCTCTCCTCCTTCTCTCCCCTCTCCTCCTTCTCTCTCCTCTCTCCTCCCCTCTCCTCCTTCGCTCCCCTCTCCTCCTTCTCTCCCCTCTCCTCCTTCTCTCCCTCCCCTCCCTCCTTTCCCCTCTCCTCCTCATCTCCCCTTTCCTCCTTCTCTCCCCTCTCCTCCTTCTCTCCCCTCTCCTCCTTCTTCTCCCCTCTCCTCCTTCTCTCCTCTCCCCTCTCCTCCTCTCTCCCCCTCCTCTCCTTCGCTCCCCTCTCCTCCTTCTCTCCCCTCTCCTCCTTCTCTCCCCTCTCCTCCTTTCCCCCTCTCCTCCTCCCTCATCCTCCCTTTCCGCTTCCTCCTCTCTCCTCCCTCATCCTTCTCTCTCCCCTCTCCTCCTTCTCTCCCCTCTCCTCCTTCTCCTCTCTCCCCTCTCCTCCTTCTCTCCTCTCCTCTCTCTCTCCTCTGCCTCCTTCTCTCCCCTCTCCTCCTTCTCTCCCCCTCTCCGCCTTCTCTCCCCTCTCCTCCTTCTCTCTCCCCATCTTCTCCTCTCTTCACTCCCCCTCTCCTCCTTCCTCCCCTCTCCTCCTTCTCTCCCCTCTCCTCCCCTCTCCCCTTCGCCTCCCCCTCTCCTCCTTCTCTCCCCTCTCCTCCTTCTCTCCCCTCTCCTCCTTCTCTCCCCTCTTCTCCTCTCTCCCCTCTCCTCCTCTCCCCTCTCCTCCTTCTCTCCCCTCTTCTCCTTCTCTCCCCTCTCCTCCGTCAATTCCTTCTCCTCCAACCCCTTAGCCGGTTCCTCTAACCCCCTAGCCGGTTCCTCCAACCCCTTAGCCAGCTCCTCCAGGTCTAACCATACTCGCTTCCGTCCTGACATTTTCACCTCCTCTGTAGCCTTTTCTGCTACAGCCTTTTCAGCAGCTTTCTCTGCTACAGCCCCCTCTGCAACCTTAGCCCCCTCAACAGCCTTCTCTGCTACAGCCTCCTCTGCAATCTTCTCCGCAACAGCTCCCTCTCCAGTCTTCTCTGCTACAGCCTCCTTTGCTACAGCCTGTGGCGATATAGCTGTCTGTGTCAGAGCCGCCTTTGCTACATCCGCATGTGCTACAGCCTGTGGTGCTACAGCTTGTGGTGCTAAATCCGACTGTGTCACATCCGCCTCTGCTACAGCCGCCTGCGCCACAGCCTGTGGCGCTACTGCCGCCTGTGTTGCAGCTGCCTGTGCTACAGCCGCCTGTGCTACATCCGCCTGTGCTGCAGCCTGTGGTGCTACAGCCGCGTGTGCTACAGCCTCTTCTGCTACAGCCTGTGCTACAGCATGCTGTGTTGCAGCCCCCTGTGTCACAACCGCCTGTGGTGCTACAGACGCCTGTGCTACAGCCGCCTGTGCTACAGCCGCCTGGGCTACAGCCGCCTGTGCTACAGCCGCCTGGGCTACAGCCGCCTGTGCTACAGCCGCCTGTGCTACAGCCTGAGACGCCTGGGCTACTGGCAGTGGCCTAATTGACAGCTCAATCCCCATCTCCCTCTCCTTATCCTCGTTCCCCACCTCCCCCTCCTCCTCTTTCCTCTTCTGTTCCCTTCTCTCCTCTTCCCTCCTCTTAGCACCCACTCCCTCTTCCAACCCATCGTCAGTCTTTCTCTCCAACACATCCCTTTTCTCCTCCTTCCCCCCTCCCCCTCCTCCTCTTTCCTCTCCTCTTCCCTCCTCTTAGCAACTACTCCCTTCCAACCCATCCTCAGGAGCCTTTCTCTTGCGCCCCCCCTCGCCCGCAGTCCCCACCTGCTCCTGAGATAGCTGTGGATCTACCTGAGAGGCAACCTGAGGACCAACCTGAGGGGCAACCTGAGGCGTAACCTGGGATGCAACCTGAGGGGCAACTTGAGGTGTCACTGCGTGCACGGCTGCCAGAGTGGCTTCTGAACCAGACGCAGCAATAGCTGTTTGCATTTGCATCTGCTCCTGCTGCTCTGGTGTGTTACTCACACAACTGCCTATCGCACCAGCAGCAGCACTCTTCACAAGCTCTGCTTTAACGACCTGCTCTTGCCCCTGCGCCTGCCCCTCCTCCTCACTTCCTGCCCCTGCCCCTGCCCCTTCCGGCTGCACTGGCGTGTTACTCACACAGCGGTCTATCGCGCCAGCAGCAGCACTCCCCACAAGCTCTGCATTAAGGACCTGCTCTTGCCCCTGCGCCTGCCCCTCCTTCTCACTTCCTGCCCCTGCCCCTTCTTTTCCCCCGGCCCCAACTCCTGTCCCTGCTGCTCCTGCCCTTGCTGCTCCTGCCCCTGCTGCCCCTGCTCCTGCTGCCCCTGCTGCCCCTGCTGCCCCTGCTGCCCCTGCTGCCCCTGCCCCGGCCCCTTCCTCTACCCCAACTCTTTCCCCTGCTGCCCCTGCCCCTGCTGCCTCTGTTTTCGCTGCCCCTGCACCTGCCTCTGCCCCTGCCTCTACCCCAACTCCTGCCGTCCCAGAATTGATCAACACACTTCCTGATTCTCTCCCTGTTCCAAACCCAGATACCCCAGATGCCACTACTACACTCCCTGACCCTGCGGTTGCTGCTGCCGCTGCTGCTACACCTGCTGCTGCTGCTTCAGTTGCTGCGGCTACACCCTCTGCCGCAAGCAGGGGCGCTTTGGACCCAGCGGTAGCAGCAGCAGATGGAGCACCCGCAGGGGAGAACACAGGAGCGACGGCAACAGAAGAACCACCAGCCCCAACCGCTGTAGTTGTCGCTGTAGCTAATTCAGCAGCTGAGGCTTCACCAGCAACAGTAGCTATAACAGCAGCAGCAGGGCCAGTGGAAGAAACTCCTTCATTCCTCCCTTCACCCACCCTACCACGCGAACCCGCATCTTCTCTTCCTGCTGGTGCTGTTTTCCCACTCCCCTCCTCTGTCAAAGGCCCTCCCAGCTTCTCCACCTGCTGCTGTCTCTCCCCTCCCACCTCCTTCTCGCCTCCCACCGCTTCCCCTCTTCCTCCTGCCTCCCCCTTCCCCCGTGCCTCCCCATTCGCCTCCGCCTCCCCCTTTCTCCCCACCTCTTCCTTACTCCCAGTCTCTGCCTTTTCCCCCACCTCCCTATGATCTTCTACCTCAGCCTCTTCCTCCCCTCCTGCCTCTGGCCCTGAATTTAAATCCAGGTCTAGCCATCCCCGTCCCCCTCCTCCCCCTCCTCCTCCTGAATCCCCACCACTGCCCCCTTTCTCCGACTTCTCCTGAACTTTTGGAGAGTCTTCTGGCTGGGTGTTGACTGGGGGAGGTGCTATCTGTTCTTGATTGAGATCGGCGATCAATGTGCGTCCAGCTGCCACTGCCACTACGGCAGCACCAGCAGCAGCAGCCGAAGCAGGAGACGCAGCAATAGGAGGAGCAGCAGAAGAAGAGGGACCAGTGGGAATAGCAGAGGTAGCAGCGAGAGAGGATGTGACAGTAACAGGAGGTGCGGCAACAGCAGGCATGCCCGGGGCAGCAGGAGGGGGCTGATTCATATCATGCCGTGACACAAACGAGGGGAGAGAGGGGATCGAGGGGAAAGAGGGAAGAGAGGAAATAGAGGAGAGAGAGGAGGGGAGAGGGGCGTTATGGAGGTCAGGGCCAGAGGCAGGGCGGGAGAGGGGGGTTTTTGGCAGGGAGGAATGGGCGGAGGGGTGGGCGGCAGGGTGGGCGGAGGGATGGGCGGAGAGGGAGGGGTTTGATCCGCGGCGAGGGATGGGGAAGGCAGCAGACAGCTGCAGCGCTTGCTGCTGCTGTGGCTGTTGCAGCTGCTGCTGCTGCTGCTGCTGCTGCAGGGATGGGCGTTGCTGCTGTGCAGGCTTCCCCTGAGCCCACGGCGACTGTGCACTAGTGGGCTCGTTCCTAGGACCCATTTGTGCTGCAGCCGCAGTGGAAGCGGAAGAGGTGGGAGCGGCAGCAGCTGCACTGCCACCCTTGCTAGCACCACCATCAGCAGCGGCAGCAGTACCAACACCACCACTAACACCACCAGCGCCACCACCAGCTGCGGCGAATGGCTGTGCGACACCTGGCACTGGTAGGTGCTGCTTCTGTAGTAGTGCCTGCAGGGACTGGAGGGGATGTGGAGTGTGGGGAGCGGAGGAAATGAGTGAAGTGAATTTTGAGTCGTCTATAAAACGACACCTGGCACTAGTGGGTGCTGCTTCTGTAGTAGGGCCTGTAGGGACTGGAGGGGACGAGTGTGGGGAGTGTGGGGAGTGTGGAGAAGAGAGTGTGGAAATTGAGAAAGTGTGGGGGTTTTGGAGAGTGTGGGGAGGGGTGAGAAACCTGGCACTGGGTGGCAATTGTTGCTGTAGCAGGATCTGTAGGGACTGGAGGGGACGGGTGGAGTGTGGGGAGCGGAGGAAGTGAGTGAAGTGAATTTTAGTAAGACACCTGACACTGCTGCTGTAGCAGGACCTGTAAGGACTGGAGGGGACGGGTGACGGGATGCAGGAGCAGAGGCAGAAGCAGGGGCAGGGACAGGGGCAGGAGCAGAGGCAGGGGCAGGGGCAGGAGCATGGGCAGGAGCAGGGGCAGGGGCAGGGGCAGGGGCAGCGGAGGTAGGAGCGAGGGGGGATGCTGCATAAGCAGCTGCAGCAAGAGAGGGGGGACAAGCGGGAAGAGGGGCAGGGAAGAAGTGGAACGGATTGAACAATATTTGCACTCAGCAGCACAAGCACTTGCCAGCACCTACCAGCACCTACTACCGCTTGCAGCGATTACGCCTGAGCTTGCAGCTGCAGCCGGGTTAAAGCCCAAGCTTTGAGTCGACTCAAAAGGAGTACTCACATTTGCTAGGTTCTGACCACCGCTTGCAGCGTTCCCTGCAGTGCTTGCAGCTGCAGCAGGGCTAAAGCCCGCCCCTCGAGAGGACGGGCGAAAGCGGAGCGAAGGAGCAGGAGAGCCGGTAAGAGGAGGGAGATTTCCCCCTCGGCTGCTCCTTGCGCCTCCTCCTGCTCCCCCTCCTGCTCCCCCTCCTCCTCCCCCTCCTCCTCCCCCTCCTCCTCCTCCTCCACCTGCCCCCCCTCCTCCTGCTGCTAGCGGGGTGCTCGTTACAGGAACGTTCGTTTGAGCGAGGACGGACTGGGGGAGCCCCGTTTGAAGCACACCTGATAGCGGCACGCCTGCGTGGGCTAGCTTGGCTAGGAGGGACGCTGGGGGTGGTGTGACTGTAGGGAGGGAGGAGGAGGCGAAGAGGGCGCTGAGGCTGTTCAGAGCACCCATGCTGCTGCTGCTGTTACTTAAGCTGCTAGAAGCGGACATGCTATTATTCAGGCTGCTAGTCCCACTGATACCGGTGCTACCCACGTTGTTAACACCACTCAGACCCCCTCCAGCACCAAAAGCAGCAGCTGCTGCAGAGTTAGCAGCATTGGCAGCACCACCTGTAGCACCTGTGGCACCTGTGGCGGCTGTAGCGGCTGTAGCGGCTGGTATTCCAGTCATGCCCGGCAGTCTCTGCAACAGCTGGCTGATTGACGAGGCCCCAGGTGCCAGATTCGCTGCTACAGCCGCTGCTGCTAGGCTGGCTGGTATCGCCACCCCTGCTGGCCCACCAGCTACAGATCCACTCCCTCTCCCTGCTACAGCCCCCGCCGGCCCCCCTGCTACAGCCGTGGTTGCCCCTCCTGCTACAACCCCTGTCGCCCCTCCTGCTACAACCCGAGTCGGCCCCCCTGTTGCTGCAGTTGCACTGGCTGCTAAAGCTGCAGAGAGGGAGGGAGAGGGGGATGATGCTGGTGTGGAAAGATGCGGGATGCTGTTGGGAGGGAACAGAGGAGGGGATACAGATGTAGGACCAACAGAAGAGGGCTGGGCGGCAGCACCAGAGGCAGCAGCAGGGGGAGCAGCAGAGGGAGCAGCGGAAGCAGAAGCAGAGGCAGAGGCAGCAGCAGCAGCAGCAGCAGCAGCAGAAGCAGGAGAAGAAGCAGCAGCAGAGGCGGAAGAAGCAGCCATGAGAGCAGAGAGAACATTGCTGGGAAGGGGACCTGAGGAGGAGGGGAATGGGCCTGCACCAGGGAGAATGGACGGCCGGGGAAGGTGTGTGAATTGAGAGAGCGTGGTGGGGTGGAGACGAGGATTGGTGGCATGTGATGGCGTACTGCTGGTGGTGCTGTTTGTGGTGACATTAGATGGCACGTTGCTAGCAGTGAAATGGGACGGCATGCTGCTGGTGCTGAAACGAGATGGGACGGTGGCAGAGGCGACATGGGCTGGGGCAGAGGCTGTGAAAGGCTGTGGTACCGCTGCTGGTGGTGGTGGTGGTGGTGCTGATGATGATAGCGGTGATGGTGATGCTGCTGCTGCTGCGGATGGGGGAAGAGGGGCAGGAGAGTGGTGGCCTACAAATGTTGCAAGGCCTGCTGCTGCTGAGCCTGCGGGGGGCCGGATCTGCTGTTGGGAGAAACGGGGAGGGATTTGTTGCTGCTGTTGCTGCTGCTGCTGCTGCTGCTGTGGTTGCTGCTGCTGCGGCTGTTGCGGCTGCTGCTGTTGATGCTTCTGCTGCTGATTCTGTAGTGATGGTTGTTGCTGCTGGTGCTGTTGCTGTTGTGACTGCTGTAGTGACGAGGCCTGTTGTGATAGCTGCTGCTGGTGTTGCTGCTGTTGTTGCTGTTGCTGTTGCTGTTGCTGCTGTTGTTGCTGCTGTTGTTGCTGCTGCTGTTGCTGTTGCTGCAACTGCTGCTGGTTCTGCTGCAGCATTTGCAGTTGCTGCTGCATCTGCATCTGCAGGTGAGGTGGCAGAGCCTGCTGCAGAAACGCCAGCTGGCCCAATACCTGCTGCTGCTGACTCACTCCCTGCTGACTCAGCCCCTGCTGACTCAGCAGCTGCTCTGCCAGCTTGCCAAACAGAGGGTGAGATGCCAACCCGGGGGGAAGCAACGGGATGTTGCCAGGTGGCAGACTCCCACTGGCTGAAGATCCCACTGCAGCTGCTGTCCCTGCTGTATTGGGCTGTTGCTGGGAGGGGATTTGCTGCATTGAATGTTGCAGCTGCTGCTGCTGCTGCTGCTGCTGCTCCTGTTGCCGTTGTTGCTGTTGCTGCTGCAGCTGCTGCTGCTGCCCTTGTTGCTGCCACTGCTGTTGTTGCCACTGCTGTTGCTGCTGGTATTGTGGTTGCTGCTGCTGTTGCATGTGCTGCTGCTGTTGCTGCTGTGACATCCCACCCTGTACCTGAAGAACCTGAGCTTGCGCCTGCACCTGAACCTGAGCTTGTGCCTGGACGGTATCTAATGGGGCTGCAGGCACTGCTCCACCTGCCCCAGATGCTACAGCAGCTCTATCTGCTGCCAGCGGGGGAGGGGAGGGAGATGGCGGCGAGGGCTCATCTCCAAACCCCGGCCCATCATTCAAGTCAAAGTCCAAAAACCGACCCTGTGATGCTGGTGGGGAGGTGGGGGCGGGAGCGGCAGCAGTGGGAGCGGCAGCAGTAGGAGCAGCAGCAGGAGGAGGCGGAGGAGGAGGAAAAGACCCTGCCTCTTCCTCTTCCGCCTCCTCTGCAAAGTTGAGGTCAAACCCTCTCGGCGCAGGGGCAGGCGCAGGGGCAGGGGCAGGGGCAGGGGCAGGGGGAGCGGCAGGGGCAGCGGGAGTGGCAGGGGCGTGGGAAGACACAGGAGCAGATGCAGGGGCAGAGGCTGCAGCAGGAGGAAAGGTGGATGCTGGACCGGCTGTGACGGCGGCTGTAGCGGCGGTTGTAGCACCAGCTGTAGCGGCAGTTGTAGCGTCGTCAGCAGTGTCCTCAGCCACGTTAAGGTCAAAGTCAAACAGAATGCGCGGCCGCTTCTCAGCTGGTTTCTCCTCCTGCTGTTGCTTCTGCCCCTGCTGCCCCTGCTGCTGCTGCTGCTGCTGCTGCTGCTGCTGCTGCTGCTGCTGCTGCTGCTGCGCTGCGGTTGGTGCTGCTGTTGCTGCTGCTGCAGAGATTTGTCAGGAGATTTCTTTGCTCTGCTTGCTTTCCTCTTTGTCCCACCAGCTTCCCCTGCAACCCCACTCGCCTTTGCCCCATGAGTCTGCCCCTGCTTCTCATGCATATGGGCAGCCTTCTGCGCTTGTGCCTGTGACTGCAACCCTCCTTGTGCGTGTGACTGTAACGAGTGCAGCCCCTGCTGCGAGTGTGATTGTAACGAGTGCAGCCCCTGTTGTCCCTGCACCTGTGATGCTTTCTGCCCATGCAAATGCAAGCCCTTTTGTGACTGTAATGGACCTTTTTGTGCTTGTAATGGCAGGCCCTTGTGCAACTGTGACTGTGACGTTAACTGGGACTGCTGGAGCTGCTGCTGCTGCTGCTGCTGCGGCGGCTGCGGCTGCTTTGAAGCCCCGGCTTGGCCTTGCATCAGAGCCTGCTGTAGCTGCTGCAACCCAAGCACCCCATCCTCTTCGCCTGCCTCCCCTTTCGTCAACCCCGCTCCTCCCTGCACCCGCTGCTGTTGCTGCCCTTGCTGGTGCTTCAACTGCTGCTGCTTTGACTGCTGCTGTTGCTGCTGGTGCATCAACTGCTGCTGCTGCTGTTGCTGTTGTTGCTGCTGCTGCAACTGACGAGCCTTCGCCTCCTTCTTTTCAGCTGCCTGTTGCTTCTGCAGCCGCCGCAGCGGGATATCCTCCTGCTGTTCCTCCTTCTCCTGCTTGCCCTGCTTCTTTGGTGTTCCCACCTTCCCACCCGCCTCCCCTGCACCGTCCTGCTTCTCCTCTTTCGCTGCCTCAACTCCAGCCCCAGCCCCTGCCCCAGCTCCTGCTGCTGCTACTGCTGTTGCTGCTCCTCCCCCTCCTGCTGCTGCTGTTGCTGCTGCTGCTGCTACCGCTGCTGGTGCTGCTGCTGCAGACCCATCCTTGGCCTTAACCAGCCCACGAGGCTTCACCCCCCCTCCAACCTTCCGAGCCGCTTCCCCTCCTGCCTTGGACACCCCTGCTCCTGTCCTCTTCCTTGTCAACTTCACCTTCTCCCCACCTTCCTTCTTCTCCCCCCCCTCTTCCTTCTTCTCCCCCCCTTCCTTCCGCCCCCCATCCACCGCCCTCTCCCCTTCTTCCCTCTTCTTCCCACTCCCTATCCCCCTCTTACCCCCCACTCCCCCACTCCCCACACTGTCCGTATCCCCATCACCACACACCTTGAGCCTCTTAGCAACAGGCATCCTCACTTGCTTCTCCCCTTCTCCCTCTCCAGCCCCCCCCACTCCCTCTGCCCCTCTCCCTTCCGCAATCCTTCCAACCGCGCCTGCCCCAGGGCCTACTGCAATCTCTTCCCCAGACACCCATGCCCCCTCGCTCTTCTCCCTCTCGATCTCCGCAGCTAGAGCCGCCCTCCACGGGCATTGCAAGGCGGCAGGAAGCGAAGGGGCAGACAGGGAGGAGCGGTGGGAAAGAGGAGGGGACGAGAGGGGGGAAGGGTGTGAGGGGAGGGCAGAGGAGAGGGAAGCGGCGTGCAGGGCGGCACTTGCTACAGCGGCAGCAGCAGCAGCAGAGGCGAGAGCAGAGGCGGTGGGAATGGTATCAGAGCGACCAGAACTGGAAATCAGTTGGCCGTTTTGCCGCCCCTTCCCCTGCCACTTGCTAGACGCCAAAACTGCTGCCACACTCAACTCCTCCTCATCCTCTGAATCTGCTGCTCCTGCCCCTGCCCCTGTCCCTGCCCCTGCCCCTGCTCCTGCTCCTGCTCCTGCTCCTGCTCCTGCTTTCGCTGCTGCCTTGACTCCTGCTGCCTCTGCAACAACCTCTGCTGCTACCACTGCTGCAGCTGAACCTACCCCATCTTTCACATCTGCCCTTGTGCCATCAGAGAATTCCCCCTCCCCTTCGTCCTTGGCCTCAGCAGCTTTCAGCAGGCATTCAATCGCTAGCTGGTCCGCACTTGGACCATCCTCCACCCCCCCTCCCATGCCCCCTCCCGGGCCCTCTCCTGTGCCCTCTCCCATACCTCCCATCCCTTCCGCCTCTCCCTTCTCTCCCGCCGCCCTTCCCTCATCCCCCACCCGTGACTCCCCATCCCGCCCACTCGGATGCCCAGTCATCCCCCTTCTGCCTCACATCCCCCAAACCCTAATTCTCTGCCCCCACCACCGCCCCTCTCAGTACCTCTTCCAGTTCCCACCTTGGCGCCTCCTTCCCCAGTTGGCAACTCCTCCAGATCAGCCCTACCTGCACTCGCCACGCTCATGAGCGAAGCCAGCACTGTAGCAGTCTCAGTGGGCGGCGAATCCTCGTCCGCATCTGCACTGTTGCAGTTGCCGCCGCCCTCCAACCCTCGAGAATCCAAGGCATTTTCTCTCGCCCCCTGGGGTTCATCTCTGGGTTTACAGATCTCCTTGGCAAGAACAGAAGCAGGAACTGCAGCAGGAACATCATCAGGAGAAGCGGCAGAAGCAGCAGCAGCAGCAGCACCACCACCACCACCATTACCAGCAGCTGTTGCAGCCACAGCTCCAGAACCAGCGGAAACATCTGCAGAAGCAGCAGCAGTAGCAGCACCAGCACCGTCACCCACACCTCTCAACCCACTCGCAATCTCACTCAACCCCTTGGGACTCCTCTTCTCTGCCTCCAACCCCTCCCCCTCGGAAACAGCGGGAGAGGCACCCCTAGAACCCCCCAGGGGCAACCAAGGAACAGGGGACCGCCTACCCTTGGGGATTCGGGAGAGTAAAGGAGAGGAGGGGGGAGGGGCGCGAGGCGGGGAGGAGAGAGAGGAGAGAGAGGAGGCGGGGGGGTGGAGTGTGGGCTCGTGGGTAGAGGGCAGTGAATGCAGAGGGGAGGAAGGGAGGGTGCTGGGGCGGGAAGCTTCCATGACAGAGGCGACCGCGGCCATCTTGACTGCCTTGACTTTCTTGACTGGCCGGTGGGAGTGCGGCGAGGGGATAACCGTGCCCTTTATAATCACGGCTGACCGCCTGCCTGTGACTACGCCTGGAGGGATGGGACAGGGCGAAAAGAGACAAGAGGAGTTTGTGAGGAAGGGTCTTTGCTAGTGGTGCCCTTTATTTTCACGGCTGACCGCCTGCCTGTGACTGTGCCTGTAACGGACAGGAAAGGGCGAAAAGAGACAAGAGGAGTTTGTGAAGAAGGGCCGTTGTTGACAACGCCCTTCATTATCACGGCTGACTGCCTGCCTGTGACTATGCCTGGAGGACGGGAAGAGGCGAGGGAGGCAGAAGAGAACACTTGTGAGGAGGTGATGGCACGCCCTCTATAATCACGGCTGATCGCTAACCTGTGACTACGATAACAGGAAAAAAAAAAAAAAAAAAACATTTACAGTTCACAAATAAACAGATAACAAAGCAGGTCTCTCGCAGAAGTCATTGAAATGAAACAAAACACACTCACTCGAACCGGTGGGGGCACGGGGCCGATCACTATCCGACCCTCTTCTTCTGGGCGGCAGAGGCAGATAGTCCAAAGTATGCCGCCCTGCCAGCCCCCCACCAGTTGCCAGTGCCACGTCAGCTTTCAAACCCCCTCCTCCACTCCCAGGGCCAGGATCGCTCTCCCTCTCTCTTCCCCCCTCCCGCTCTCTCACGCCCTCTCTTTCTCCCACTCCCTCTCTATCCTTCGATCCGTCCCTTCCTTTCCTCTCCTCTCCTTCTTCCCCCTCTTCTCTTTCCCTCGCGCCCCCAAACTCGCCACGGCCCCCCAGAGGACCATTCCCAGAAGCTTCCCGCTCGCTCCCACTCCACTCCTTCCCTGCGCCTCCTGCCACCTCTGCAGCATTCCCCTCACTCAGTCGATCCCCCGCGGCCTGTTTCTGACCTGCCCCACAAGTATCCTCCTGAACCGGCTTCTGATGCTTCTCAGATCTGCCCTCAGAAGCAACCCTGACTGCTGCTCCCCCCAGCTCTGTCACACCAATAGCTTCCTCCTCCTTCTCCTCCTCCTCTTTCCCACGCTTGTTTACCGAGAATCTTACAATAAGCCTTCTCTCATCCCCACCACCACCCCCTGCCCTCTCCTCCTCTTCCTCCTTTTCCTCCTCTTGCTGCTGCTCCGTATTCCCCTCCTGCTCACGCTCCTGCTGTCCCTGCGGTTGCTTCAAACCCTTACCATCAGAAACTTTTTCCCTTCTACTCACCTCTTCCCCTCCATCTCCCATCCCTCTCCCTGCAGCACCCTCCTTCTGTGTAGGCCTTGCAACGGCTGCCTCTGCTAATCCTCCTACTCCTCCGCCTTCTTCCCCCTTCAAGTCCCCCTCCTGTGTCACCATCCCCTGCTCTCCTGCCCCATCGCCCTTATCTGTCCCTGCCCCTGCCCCTGACCTTGCCCCTGCCCCTCCCCCTGCCCGTGTCTCTGCTCCCGTCTCTTCTCCTGCCCTTTCCCCTGCTACATCCTGTCCGCCTCCCCCGCTCCTTCTCCCACTACCCACGTCACCAGATTCTTGCCTTGCGTCCCCACCATCACGACCACCACCAGAATCAGCACCACCAGCAGCACCAGCACCACCAGAACCACCACCAGCAGTTGCAGCAGCACTTCTGCTCTTTCCCCCCTTCTCCTCCTCCTCCCCTCCCCCCTCCCTCGTCGCCTCTCCCTGCTGTTGCCGGCTCTCCACCTCCTTCCCACTCCCTGCTGCACCCACATTCGCTGCTCCTGCAGCCGCCACTCCATCCGCAAACGGGCCAACTGCATCAGCACCCATGCGCTCTTGCCTTCCGCCTACTATTCCTTCTCCAAAACTCCCTCCCATGCCCGTGAAACGCAAATCTGCCTTGCTGTTCGCATCTCGCTCTGCCCTGGACCCATCCCCATCCGCCCGACCCTCTCTTTCTTCTAGCTTCTCTTTCTCTCCAAGCACTCTCTGTGCGCCTGCTTTCTCTCCTGCGCCCTTCCCACCTTCCGCTGGCTCTACCTGACTGCCGTCTTCCTCCTTCCTTCCCTTGTCTTTCTCATTGTCCTTTCGATGCTCGCTCTCCCTCTCTTTCTCCTTCTCCTTCTCCTCTCTCCTTCTCCTTCTCTCTTTCTTTCTCCTTCTCCCTCTCTCCTTCTCCTTATCCTTCTCCTTCTTCTCCCTCTCCCTCTCCCTATCCTTCTCTTTCCTATCCTTTCTGTCCTTCCCCTTCTCTTTCTTCCCCTCCTTACCCTCCTTACCCTCCCTATGCTTATGCTTACTCCTCTTAGACTCCCTATCCCTATCCTTCGACCCTCTCTCCTTCTCCCTTCCCTTCTCCCTATCCTTCTCCCTCTCCCTCTTCCTCCCATGCTCCCTATCCCTCTCCACCTCACGCCCCTCACTCTCCCTCTCCCCTTTCTTCTCCCTCCCCTTCCCATCCGTCCCACTCTTCCTCTCCCCATCCTCCTCCCCACGCCCCTCACCCTCCTTCTCCCCTTTTTTCTCCCTTCCCATCCTCCCCTTCTCCTCCTCCTCCCTCCGACTCCCACTGGAAGCCCTCTCGCTGCTGCTGCGCATAGGGGAACTCGCTACTTGACGGCCGTCCACTCCACCGGCAGGACTAACGGCAGGGCTCTTTACAGGTACTGGGATCTTCACCACTAGCCGGCTAGCTGCCGCTGCCTCTCCTCTCTCTGCTCTTTCCAAAGCCGCGGCAGCATCAGGAGCAGCAACAGGAGGGGACGGAGCAACAGCAACAGCAGCAGCGGTTTCTGATTTAACCCCCTTTTCCTCTACCGCACAAGCATCAGCACCACCTTTCTCAGCCGCCCCTGCACCATCTTTTGGTCCCACCGCATCTCGTGTTCCTTTCCATGCTTCACCCAAGCCCGACTCTGTTTCCTTGACTCCACTCGCCCCCTCGCCTCCCTCTCTCCTCCCCACCAATTCAGCCCCTTTCTCCTCCTTCTCCCCACGCTCTTTCACCCCGTCTTTCCCCCCCACCCCTTCGCCATTCTTCGCCTTTTCCCCTTCAGCCAACCGCGGTCTCGCTGCCTCGCCTAGTGAGAGCATTCTAGCCTCCACCCCCCCTTCCTCCTTCCCTTTCTTATCCTCCTTTCCATCCTCTTGATCCTTCCCCTCCTTCCCTTCCTTCCCCTCCCTCCTTTCCCTTCGCTTCTCCTTCTCCTCATTCTCCGTCTCTTGCGAAGGCACAGCCTCTCCCTGCAGTTTACCCGAGCCAGCTCGCTCCTGCAGCCTTTCTTGCCCATCAGACGGCTCAAGGGCAGCAGCAGCCCCAGCAGACGCAGCAGCAGCATCGTTTTCCGCTGATTTTTCTGCTTTTGACAGCTCATTACCGCCCACAACGGCCTCCTCTTTCTGAACCCCTTTCCCTGGTTTGCTCCCCAGCCCCCTTTCCTGCCGTCTTTTTCTTTTTCCTTCTCCTTCTCCTTCTCCTTCTCCTTCTCCCTCTCCCTCTCCCTCTCCCTCTCCCTCTCCCTCTCTTCTTCTCCTCTCCCACTTCTTCCTGCCGAGCATCTCCCTTCCCCTCTCCAACAAGCCTTCCCTCCGCCCGTTCCGTTCCTGTTCCTTTACCTGCCGAACCTACTCCTCTTGGACTCGCCACCTTGCTTCCACTCCCACCCGATTTCGGTAACCCACTCGCGTGACCCTTCTGGTTACCACTTCGCAGGCTCCCTGGCGAAACCTGCGACTCTCCCCTGCCCCTGGGGCTGCCCCCCGGAACAGACAAGGGGGAAGGGGGCGGGCGCCCCCCTTCCCCCACTCCGCCTCCCCCTCGCCCTTTCCCAGCCCCCGGCGTCCCGCCAAGGTCATCCCCGTCCGCTGCCGAGCCACTAGGTTTGGATGTCCGAAGCTGTCCCGAGCCTGCTGTAGGCTGGGTTGGAGAAGACGCAGGGGACGAACCACCGGACGGTCGCAGGGGCGATGCGGCTACAGGTGTGACTAAAACGGGTGACCCTTTTTTCGCACCTGCCCCCCCCGCCCCTGTTTCTGCTCCTGAAGCTGCTGCCCCTCCACTTGCTGCTGTACCTACGTTCGCTGGCGCTCCCGTTCCGCCTCCCCCTCCACTCGCCCCTGCACTTCCCCCTCCCCCTACGCTCCCGCCTGCGCTTCCCCCTCCCCCTGCGCTCTTCCGCCCCATGTTCTCCGCGAGCGTCTCGTCCACGCGCCTCTTCCAAACCTCCACCAACCGCTTTGCGCGCCTCTGCACCTCCGTGTTGCGCTGGCTGCGCAGCTGGTTCACCGATTTGCCCACCACGCAACTCTTGAGCGCCTCGAGATCCACCGGCAATCGCGCTAGCGCGCGAAGAAGCGCCAATAAGAGGTCGTCTAAAGCGGCCTGGTCGACTGTATCTCCTCCCCTGCCGCTTCCGCCGCCGCCGCTGCCGCTGCTGGTGTTCCCGTGGCTATATTTGCCCTTGTGAGTCTCCTGCAACCATTCGTCTAGGGTTTTCAGGCCTCCTTTCGCGATGAAATGCGACAGGCACGACTCCTCGTCCGTGGCTGCGACTGCGAGAGCGACCGCGCGACGACGTGCGACGGCGTCGGCGAAACCGAGCTTCCGCCGCCCGTCGCTCTTGTCGGCGTTCACAAGCGAGAGAAGCGACTCGACGGCCTTGAGATTCGGCAAGCCGCCTCCCGGTTTCGAGCAAACGGCATTAATGTCTGCGAGAAGGGATGAAAGATGCTTGTCGAGGGCAGGCGATGGGTCGTGATGCGAAGACCGATGAACGTCCTGCGAAGCTCTTGGTCCGGGATCACTACCATGACTCCTCTGCCCCGCGTGGCCCGCGTTTCCCGCGTGTCCCGCGCTTCCTGTGTGTCCCGCGTGCCCCGCGTGTCCCGCGTCGTGTCCATGATGGGATCTCGGCCCATGCGGAACGTGAGGAGCGGTCGACATTAGCGACGCGAGCGGACGGGTCGGGCCGCCATGGCCGTCGCTGTCCCTCTCCCTGTGCGACCGATGCCGCTCCTTCCCGCCGTTCTCATCGTCGTCCCCCTCGCCTTGCCGTTGTTTTCCGATCGGCATCCCGAACAACCGTGGGAGTGCAAATGTTACCCAACCGCGATGTCTGACGAATACGTAGGTTGGGATGATCAATTAACCGCAAAATTTTCTGGTACCACGAGCAGAAACTGTTCCTCTAGTAACTAGCCTCATGGCATGGAGGATCTATAGATTCTCTTATTCGCTAAAATCGTGACGCCTGAGAAGTGGCTGACGGAAAGATCTTGAGTCCAACCTACTGCGTGAAAAAAAGGGACATATGGAAACATATGAAAGGCAACGGATGCTATTCAGAAGCTAAAAGACAAGGGAAGGAAAAAAAAAAAAACACAAAAAAAAAAAACAAATACAACAAACAAACAAACAAAAACACAACAAAACGAATTATCCAAGAGAAAAAACGTAACATGGCATGCATGCGGAAACCGATGCAAGTCGCTCGACGGGCGCTATGTATAGAGCCTCGAATTAATATATTTAGACGTTACGTTAATATGACATCTGCAAGCGAAAGAGCCTTTCACAGATCTAATAGGGAAGCTTACTCAAGTGACAGCACCCTGCTGCAACAAATAGCCGGGTCTTGGAGAAAAATATGAAACTCGAGCTTAATCGGCTTAATTGCCTCAGCATGACTGCTTACACCAGCAATCTCGTTCCCAAGGGACGCTGAAGAAACATCAGTAACAACCACGGAGCAGGAAAAATCGAGGAAGGCGATTCAGATCTGAAGCTGAAGAAAGAAACGGATGAGGTGGGAGGCGGTGGGGGAGTTACGGGGAAGGCGGAATACTGTACACGTGGGGGGTGGGGGGGGGAGGTGTTGAAGGTTTGGTTTGGATCCCGCGTGGGCCCTCGAGATTTGGTAGCACGTACGGTACCAACTATGGGAGTACAGTAATGTTTACCTGGTATTTCCGGGGTGTTGCAATTTCTTTGGAGGTAGAAGCCGCAGCACGTGTTTTGTCTCTCAAATCATAAAAGAGGTGAGCAGTTGAGATTGAGCACGTAAGCTACAGAAGGCGGAACTTCGTTGCCAGAATCGAGCTTCAGTGTTCCGGTAGTTTATAAGCAACTACAAGGGTTGATGGGATCTACGCACTGTAAACCACTGTAAAACACCTCAGTATTCAAGGAAAGAGCGGGGAAAACACGAATCACAAATGCTAACGGAGGTAAGGTGGGGAAGTCTCGTCGAAGTGGCGGACGGGGGACAGAGCATGAGGGCAGGAGGCGAGGGGAGGAGAGGAGAGGGTGACAGAGGTGGGCTCGGCGGGATTTGAGGAAGCTGGGGCGGGAAGGGGAGACAGGTGGGCGGGGGTCAAGCGGAGCTTGGATGGGGTTGGAGTGAAGAACTTGATCTAGCTACAGTACCTGTGAGCTCGTCTCGGCTGCAAGGCAGCGGCATGCTGCTGACGCGACATAGGGGAAAGATTGCTTTGTCACCTTCTGCAACTGGAGGGACAAGCTGACAGTGTCAACAGAAACCGATGGGATTGACACCAGAGCGAGCCACAAGCTGCAGCCATTGGCAGGATGCTCCCAAGGCTTGTTATCTCAACCGAACCGTAACAAGCTATAACTATAATAACCATTTTACACACCTAGGGATGTCGTAGTGCACATGCTGCTGTACAATGGCATTGGCGGGATGTAATCAATGTGGATCTGTGACGTCTTGATTTTGAACCGACGGCGTACGCGATAGAGGAAACACCACCGCGGTAAGGAAGTACTTTACAGCAGTCACCCCTCTAAAATAGGCCTAACTGCCTGCAGATTCTTGTGTTGAGTAGAACAGATCATATCCATTTCCATTTCCATTTCCATTCCCATACTCACCTGAAACAAGCTGGATGTGATTTACCTTATGTTTTTTTCGCACCGCAGCAAAGACCACATGCTGCAGTAGCATGCAGTGTGCTGCATAAGATTCCACATTGCACATGTTACCCGTCATCACCCGGATATAAAGACAGTGTTGAATAGTAGACAGGGGTTGTCTACTATACGGGTGTCTCTTATAAACAGGCTAGCCTCATTATAAGACACCTATTTGTGTGTACGGGTTAAGAAAGTGTAGGAGTTAGGGGCAAATGTATAGCGAGGGGGTATCTTCTAAACGGTTCTTTGTCCATTTATAAGATTTATAAGACACCCTAAACCATCCCGTTTACAAGATAACTCAAGCATTTTTGCCCGTGTACGAGATAAGACATATATGTCTTATATCCGGGCGATGACGGGTATTAGCCAGCGTATAAGCGCGCAACCGTATCCATCCATCAACTGATTGTAGGCAAATCCTCGTTGCACACATGTACCACCATACATCTTCTCATCCAAACATATTAACGGGCAACAGTATCCATCAACTACTTCCTGACCGTGTCATATGCACGAACAGACACACACAGGCCATGGCATGAAGAGCCAGAGGCAAAACTACAGGTTGCTACACTCCACTCTCCTCACTCATACACCATATAAAATCAGCCAATGTACAAGCGAGCACCAATATCCATCAACTGCTTGCCACCCCCTATGGTATGCACAAACACAGGCACCTGAGCCATCACACGGAGAGTCAACGGCAACACTACAGGCTGCAGAACTCCCCCTTCTCCCTCATCTCCCACTCCTGCTGCTGCCTCTGCCGCAGCTGCTAGCCCTCCATCGACTAACAAGATACTGTCATCCTCGTTATAAGCACCACCTGCTCCACCATCTGCATCATCATCTCCTTGAAGTAAATCGGGCGAGATGTGATGCGCAAGATCATCTGCTGCCAAGCCTGAAACCCCAGTAGAATCCTCCAAACCTTCACTTGCCACTGCACTGTTGCTTCCTTCCTCCTCACTACCACCGCTGCCACCGCTTGTAACACCATTATTCTGAACCAATGCTGAGGGCGAAATCATATGGGCCAGGTCATTTGCTGGTAGATCTGCCACCAACGCCGCTGCTGCCTTGCACCCTGCAGCGTTCCCAGCCTCGCCGTTCTGAGCCTGGTCTTTCCGAGCCTTTCCGTTCCGAGCCTTGGCGTTAGCCTCGGAAGGAGGAGGCTTGGCGCTGATGATGACGGTACCAGTGGCTGCGACCCATTGGCAGGTGGTGTTGGGAATAGAGTTGAAGTGCATGGGTCGCTCCATCTGCAGAGAAGGGGAGGGAAGTAACAGGTGGGACAGACACGGAATGAGAATAATAGCAGTGGCAGCGACCCATGGGCAGGTGGTGTTGGGAATAGAGTTGAAGTGAATGGGTCGCTCCATCTGTATCAACGGGAAGGAAGTAACAGGTGGGACAGACACGGAATGAGAATAACAGCAGTGGCAGCGAGCGACCCATTGGCAGGTGGTTTTGGGAATAGAGTTGAAGTGAATGGGTCGCTCCATCTGTATCAACGGGAAGGAAGTAACAGGTGGGACAGACACGGAATGAGAATAACAGCAGTGGCAGCGGCCCATTGGCAGGTGGTGTTGGGAATAGAGTTGACGTGAATGGGTCGCTCCATCTGTATCAAGGGGAGAGGGTGGGGGAGAAGCGGGAGACGCAGGGGAGAGAGGAAGGGAAGAAGGGAGGAGGGGGTGTGGGAATGAGAATACCACCCAAGGTGAAGAACCATTGGCAGGTGGTGTTGGGGATATAGTTGTTAATGGGACACTCAGCATGACTCAATCCGAACAAACCTAACACACCACCCCAAAGGGTTTCAATGCACTCACCCCAAAGCGTTCGATGTAGACGTTCATGTAGCGCGGCCCAATCGCAGTCACACACTCAGCTTGACTCACTCCCAACAAACCCAACACACCAAGCCTTTACTCACCCCAAAGCGTTCAATGTAGACGTTCATGTAGCGCGGCCCAATGGCGTCAACCACGCCTTAGACAGACACCCCTGGGTGTGCCGCAGCAGCAGGCACAGGGAACAGCCGCTCGCTCGCCTCCTGCGCGTATCTAGTAGCTACCCACCCACCTAGCACAAGTGTGCATCCCCACCCCTACCCTACTCACCCCAAAGCGTTCAATGTAGACGTTCATGTAGCGGGGTCCGATATTCACCACCCAAGCATTTGACAGACACCCCTGCGTGCGCTTGAGCAGCAGGCACAGGAACAGCCTCTCGCTCGCCTCCTGCGCGTATCGGGCAGCGAGCTTCCTCTCGTTGCACCGCGTCGCCACGTCAGCGACGGCGTTGGCGGCCGGCATATCTCGTTCCTTGTGCACCAGCTGGCACTCGTGCCGCACTGCGGTTACCAGCTGTTGGCGTAACAAGCTCTTCTTGTCTTCATTCACCTCTCCTCCTCCTGCTCCTCCTCGCCCTCCTCTCCCTCCACGGCCTCTCCCTCCCCATCTACCTCCTCTCCCTCCTCTCCCTCCTCTCCCTCCTCTCCTGCCCCCGTCTCTCCCTCCTCCTCGCCCTCCCCGCAAACCCTCCCCTGCAAACTCTCCCCTCGCTTCTCCCTTCCCCTCTCCCCCACTCCCTCCGCACCCTGCCAGCAGCCCCAGGGGATCCCCCACAGCAGTAAGCACCTTACCTCCAGGCGCTACCCCTGTGAGCTTCCTGAGTAGGGTAACATCACTAGAGCTACTCGCCCCATGCCCACTCCCTCCTGCTCCTCCTGCTCCAACACCACTTCCCTCTGCCCCTCCTGCTTCACCTCTCCCTCCTCCTTCCCCTCCTGCTTTTCCTCCTGCACTTCCTCCCCCTTCTCCTACACCCAACCCCTTTTTCTCCCACTTCACGCTGCTACTCAGCCCCATCCTCGCTATAAGCCTCTCCTCTGCCGCCAGCGCGGCCGCCAGCTGGCGGTGAACGATGACGTCAGCGTATCGGCGAATCGGGGAGGTGAAGTGCGTGTATAGGTCAAGAGCAAGGCCGTAATGAGACGTCCATTCGCCTTCTCCACCAGATGTGCCTGCACCAGATGTACCTGCGCTGGCAGCAAATGCACCTCCCCCCGCAGATCTACCTCCCCCAGATCTACCTCCCCTGCCTCCCCGAGATCTACCTCCCCCAGACCTGCCTCCCCCGGATCTACCTCCCCCAGACCTACCTCCCCGAGGCCCACCCACACTGCCACTGCGGCCACCAGACCTACCTCCCCCAGAACCACCTCCCCTAGGGAACCCATAACCATCACCACCCTCCTCATAGCCAACCTCACCATCCTCGTTACTATCATCCCCATTACTCTCACCCCACTGCCCTCGACAGAAGTACTGGGCCAGCTGCATGGGCTTAGTGGCCATCAGCAGCAGCAGCGCTTTCTCCCCTGGATCCTCCACCGCCCGCCCCACCTCGTTAAGTATTTCACTTAGCACCTTGGACGGAATCACACAATCCACGCTACCCCCGGCTCCCTCCGTCTCCCCTTCTGTCTCCTCCGAGCCTCCTGGCCCTTTTCCGCCGCTTGTACCCGCTATAAGCTGCTTCAGTTCCGGGCACTCCCGCACCAGCTTCCTGCAGAACTCTGCTGAGAGCACGCCCTGCTGGCAGGCGAAGCGCAGGAAGTCGGCCATCTTCTTGGCGTTGGGAGGGGGGTGGCGCCTGCAGGGAGGGCATGGGGCATGGGGCACAGTGTGGGGGGAAAGCGGAGGAGAGATGATGCTGATGATGATAATGTGGAAGGCTGCTGAGAGCACGCCCTGGTTGCATGCGAAGCGCAGGAAATCGCCCATCTTCTTGGCGTTGGGAGGGGGGTGGCGTCTGCACGGGGCACGGGAGCAGAAGGCACAGGAGAGATATTGATGTTGATGAGCAAGGCGCACGAAGCCCGCGCAAAGCGCGCTCTGCTGGCAGGCAAAGCGCAGGAAATCACCCATCTTCCTGGCGTTGGGTAGGGAATGGCGCCTGTATGGGGAATGGGGCAGGGAGCACAGGGGGAAGGGGAAAGGAGGAAAGGGAAAAGTGCAGGAGAGTACTAGCACTTGAACCCTGAGAGCACGCGCTGCTGGCAGGCGAAGCACAGGAAATCGCCCATCTTCTTGGCGTTGGGAGGGGGATGGCGCCTGCACGGGGCACAGGGCACGGGGTGGGGTGGAAGAGTGGAGGAGCAGGATAGATAAGGACGCGGAAGGCACATGAACCTTGTGGGGAAACCATGCGCGGGCGAACGTAGCCAATAGCCCATCTACCTGGCATTCGGAGGGGGGTGGCGCCTGTGCGGAGAGCGTGAGAGAAGAAGATGCAGGGAATAGGAATGCTTTCATAGTCGACTCACAGAGACGTCTTTTTCAAAGTGGGTAATACCTGAGTCCTCTTGCTCAGGTAGGAGGGCGAGAGGAAAGCGGGAAGCACTACCTGAGTAGCGCATCGGAAGGGAAGGCACGAGAGATGATGATGTTGGCGACGGTGGTGTTGGTCAGCAACATCACCTCCCCCACCAGATGGTTTCAACTTTATCAACATAAACTACTGGACAGTACCTGAGCAGCAGTACCTGAGGAGGGCATCAGAAGGAAAGGCGTGGGAAACGATGTTGGCGACGGTGGTGTTAGCCAGCAGCATCAGCTCCTCTACCAGATGGTTTGCTGCTGATGTCGCTGGCAGGTTTGGGATTAAGTTTTCAGGTTAAATGTTAAGGCCTATTGGACGATACCTGAGGAGGGCATCTGAGGGGAAGGCCCGAAATATGATGTTGGCAACAGTGGTGTTGGCCAGCAGCATCAGCTCCTCCACCAGAGCATTTCCTACAAGCAGCATGGGAGGGGAACATTACCTGAGGAGTGCATCGGAGGGGAAGGCCCGAGAAATGATGTTGGCGACGGTGGTGTTGGCCAATAACATGAGCTCCTCAACCAGGTGGTTCGCTGCTGCTGTGTTGTGTCTGAAGGTGTAAGGATTGGGTTTTAAGGAGGAAAAGGTCAACTGGACAATACCTGAGGAGCGCATCGGACGGGAAGGCCCTCGAGATAATGTTGGCAACCGTGGTGTTGGCCAATAACATGAGCTCCTCCACCAGATGGTTCGCTGCTGCTGTCGCTGGCGCCACCGCTGCTGCCACCGGCCTCCACCTGCTGCTGCTGCTGCTGCTGCCGCCTGCACTGCTGCTGTTATTAATATTGCTGTTCTGACCCACTCCCTCCACCCCACTCTCCCCACTGACACCCACGCCCACATCCCCACAGGCTACTAATTCCTCCTCCACCTCCTCCTCCCCCTCATCTGCATCAAAGGAGAATCTCAGTTTGGACGTCTGTAGCTGCATGAGTGCGCCCCTCTCATCCCTGGCCTTCCTCAGGCTCTGTGCTATGCGGTGCAGCGTCAGCACGTCACCAATCACGTCACGCCACCTGTACCCTCCGTACAGGACCGGCCGCCAGTCCTCGTTCACTCTGCCGTCCAGTTTCCCCACCCCTCCGCCCCCACCTCTGCTCCCATCCCCATCACTCCCCCCTTCACTCACACTCCCAATCCCACACTTCCCATCCTTCTCTTCCTGTCCCCCCTCTTTCTGCCCGCACCCTGTCACCTCCTCCCCTCCGCCAAACCTCCCATCGATCATCTCTTGAGCATGCCCATACGCCAGCTGGACGCACGGACGAATCACAGACCTTCCCGCCCACTGCCTCCTCACCTCCCCCGTTACAGTCACATCCCACACCACCGAGAACGCCAGCCTGTCAACCCCCGGCTGTAGCGAGCAGAGGTCCTCGCACAGCGGGCGGGGGAGCATCGGCAAGGCCTGCTGGATTAGATACACTGTCGTGCACCGCTGGGCAGCTTTGGCATCTAGTGCGGATCCGGTTGGTATGAAGTATGACACGTCAGCAATGTGAACACCCACTTGATACAACTCCTCCTCCTCCTCCTCCTCCTCTTCTTCTCCCTCCCCCTCCCCCTTTTCCCCCGCTTCTCTCCCTTCCTCTGCCTTCTCCCCCTCTACCTGCCCTAACTCCCCCTCCCCCTTCCCCTTCCCCTTCCCCTTGCCTTTTTTCTTCCCCTTAGCCCCCCCAGCCTTTATCCTCGTTATAGAGAGCGCATCGTCCAGGTCTCGTGCAGTGGGCGGATCTATAGTGAACACCCGCTGGCCCCTAAAGTCCCTGCGGGCTGCAACCTCCTCTGCAGGAATCTGCCAACCGCTGCTACTGCTGCTGCCGCCGCCGGTACTAACACCCTCGTTATTATCACCCTCACTACTATCACCACCCCTGCCATTACTATCACCACTCGTCCCACCAGCCCCACAAGGTAATTCCGCCAGTACCTCTGGGGGAAAATCCGCCCCATGAATTCCAAACTGGGCCAGAATCGCCCTCGTTTCAGTCTCAGCGTCCCCTGCCGGCCCCAGGCTCTGTGTGACTATACCGAAGGGCAGGAACTGGCCTGCAGACCAGCGGGATAGCCTGGCCACTACTAGCATCTGCCTCACCTCCGCTGCTGCTGCAGCTGGTGCTGCTGCTGCTGCTACAGCCGCCGCTGCCTCATCTGCTGCTGCTACAGCCGCTGCCGCCTCGTCTGCGGCTGCTACTGACGCCGCTACAAGCATCTGCCTCACCTGTGCTGCTGCTGTTACAGCCGCCGCTGCCTCTTCTGCTGCTGCTACTGACGCTGCTACAGCTGTCTCCGCTACAGCCACACTCGCTTCAGCTGGCTCTGCTACAACCGCAGCGCCACTCACACCCCCAACGTCAGCAACAACAGCAACCCCCTCTTCTACCGGAGCAAGGCTAGGGGTATTCTTATCGGTCCTCCTCCTGTTAGCCTTCTGACGCGTGTCAGAGACTGTGGATGCTGTTAAGACGAGGTCTTTCATCTCCTTCGGTAGGGTGCTAATTCGGATTAGCATGCGCGGGAACCGAGGGTCCACTGGAGTGAATGTGACTATACCGAAGTCTGCAAAATTAGGCATTGGCATTGCAGACTGCGCTTCATTCCCTGTGCTGGCTGTGCTGGCTTCGTTTTTGTCACTGGTGCTACCAGTGACAGCAGCAGCCGCAGGGGCAGTAATAGCACCAACAGCAGGCTCCTTTGGCTGAACAACAGTGGCAGACGGTTCAGTTGCACCAGCTTCCATAGACAGCAACAGCGCCTCCTCCTCCCCAACCACCTCCCCCTCTTCCAAAACCACTTCCCCCTCTTCCCCAACCTCTTCCCCCTCTTCCCCAACCTCTTCCCCCTCTTCCCCAACCACCTCGCCTTCTTCCAAAACTACTTCCCCCTCCTCCACTTCCTCCTCTTCCCCAACCACCTCCCCCTCTTCCTCTTCCCCAATCACCTCCCCCTCTTCAATCCCATCCCCACCGCTATGATCCCCTCTCGTATCACCCTTCACGTCCCCCTCCTTTGGCACCTGTTGCTCTTGCTGCTCCTGCTTCCCTTGCTCCTGCTGCTTCTTCTGCCCCTGCTTCTCCTGCTTCCGCTGCTGCTTCTCCCCCACTCGATTCTTCCTCTCCACAGCCCGTCGCTTCTGCCTCTCCTTCTCTATCTGCGCCCCTGCAGCCGGAAGCAGCTCCAACCTCCCCACCACCGCCTCTTGAGGTGACTCATGAGTCGACTCACAAGGCACTCCTCTCTTCCTCTCCACAGCCCTCCTCCTCTGCCTCTCCTTCTCTATCTGCGCCCCTGCAGCAGGCAACAGCTCCAACCTTCCCACCACCGCCTCTCTCCGAGCCGACCAATGAACAATCGCCACCACACGCCCCGTCAGCCGCAGATCCGGATTGGCACGCACTCTCTGCAACAGCCGCTCTATTGCGTCTGCCTTTCCTCCCTGCCAACTCCCCTCCTCTCTCTTGTCTCCACCCCTCCCCCCCCCTCCTCCTCTCACCCCTTCTCTCCCATCTTCCACCGCACTACCTTGCAACAAATTGCCCTCCTGTGTAGCATTTGGATTGCTCGGTTCCAACGGTGGCGAATCTACCTCCACTGCCACTGTGTCACCCTCAACCTGCAAAGCAAGGTGGGGTTCCAGGGAAAAACTAAGTTGACTCATTCCAGAAGAAAAAAACCCTATACCCTGAGGGGCAAAGAAATCGAGCATGGGACGATAACCGAACTGACTCGTTTCGATGGAACAATATGAAGGAGCAAATGGGTAATACGTAGGCTCAGAACAGTAAGAACCGACAAGCATTTCAGACAAGCTCAGCGTTTCAGACAAAGCTCAGCATTCCAGAAAAAAAGGTTGGTCAAAGGCTCTTACTGCTCGGTTTTGTGCCCTGAGGCCATAGATAAGGACGTCCCGAGGAACTCCCTCTACAGTCACATATGCCTGAAGAGAAACCACCAAGTACAGTCCAGTCAAAGAATAAGTAAACATGCATCACAAAAGGCACCAGACGAACGGAAACGTGCTCTCAAGTCAAATGGAAGTGTATTTTAGGAAAACCAAGAGCAGCACACAGAATGCACTGTGAACGATGCAGCAGCAACGGGATGACTTATGAACCGTGTATCTTGCGTTCAATTTGTTACAGAGTGGGATCACCTCACATGAATTCCGTTTTTTTAGACGTCTCAGATTTGGCATCTGAACCGTGCATATGGCTTTCAATATCTTTTGCAAACAGAGTGAACTCACCTCAAATCGGTTCCGCGCGTTGACCCTGAACGATGCAGCAAAGAGAGTACCGTCCTGAAAAAGTGGGAAGGAAACAGAAAGAAATGGGATAAACAATGGCACGACTTGGAGGAAAAAAACAGTATTGGACAGGAGGAAAAAAAAAAAGAGCATACACGAATGCAGGCAAATGAACACCTGAAGGAAAAAAAAACCCGAAGCCACATACAGGGTACAATATTGCAGTCTACATGATCAGGCTGACAGTTCGATCTAATACAGGTTCACGAATGAAAAAGGCATACCTGAATCCTCTGCTTGGCAACTTCAAGCGGCAAGTGATTGGCGAAAACCCCTCGGAAACCCTTCTCCTTCCCGCTGTCCTCGCTATTGCTAGCCCCTGTAAACACCTGAGCTGTCCGACCTGACCCGCGGGTGCTCGCATCCCAACTAGTGGGCGCCACAGAACCCCACTCCACCGAGACAGATGGTTTTTGGGTTGAATCACCCCACTCCACCGAGACAGATGGCTTAGGAACCGAATCAAGAGCCACCGAGCCTCCCTCTGCAAGAACCGAATCAAGAGCCACCGAGCCTCCCTCTGCACTCGTGGGTTCTGTATCCCCCCAACCAGTTGGTGGGGGAATTTTAAACCCTAAACCTGTCCCATCCCTGCCATGCTTGATCGGAGGACCAGCACCGCCACCTCTCTGCTGCTGCTGCTGCTGCTGCTGCTGCTGCTGCTGCTGCTGCTGCTGCTGCTGCTGCTGCTGCTGCTGCTGCTGCTGCTGCTGCTGCTGCTGCTGCTGCTGCTCTGCTGCTGCTGCTGCTTCTCCTTCAGCCTTTCCTTCTTCTGCTTCTTCTTCTCCTTCTTTTCCCTTTCCTTCCTCTCCGCCTCATTTTGTCCCTCCCCTGCGTATCCCACCGAATCCTTCAAACTTTTATGTTCAGAAGGCCGCTTTGACGAAATTTCAGCTCCAGGACCTTGCTTTGACGGAATCAGATTTGGACCTGACGGAATCAGCTCTGGATTTGACGAAATTGGCTCTGGTGACGGGATCGGCTGTGGTATGGACGGGTTCGACTCTGGTTTGGACGGTGCAGCTTCATCAGACGCTTCCTTTCCCGCTCCGGCTGCTTCCTTTGCCTGCTTCTCCAGCATCTTCTTCTCTCTCTTCTTCTCCCTCTTCCGCGCCGCCTTATCCTCTGCAGCTTCCGAAGATTCAGCCTTTGGAGGCGCCTTGACAGTCTCCGCCTTCTCCTCTGCAGCTTCCGAAGTTTCAGCATTTTGAACCGCCTTAGTTTCAATTGCGTCTTTCGCTACTGCTGCTGCTTCCTCCGCCTCCTTCTCCTGCATCTTCCTCATCATCTCCTTCTTCTCTTTCTGCCTCTCTTTCTTCTTCCTCTTCCGTGCCGCCTTGTCCTCCTCTGCAGCTTCCGCAGATTCAGCCTCTTGAGGCGCCTTAGAAGTCGCCGCCTTGTCGTCCTCTTCACCGTCCGTCGATTCAGCCTGTACAGCTGCCCTTTCAGCTTCTGCGGGTCGCTGCTGCTCAACTGCTTCCTTCCCCACTCCGGCTGCTTCCTCCGCCTGCTTCTCCTGTAACATCTTCTTCATCATCTCCTTCTTCTCTTTCTGCCTTTCTTTCTTCTTCCTCTTCCGCTCCGCCTTATCCTCCTCTGCAGATTGCGATCCTACACCTCCCGATCCTGCGCCTCCCGATCCTGCGCCTCCCGATCCTGCGCCTCCCGATCCTGCGCCTCCCGATCCTGCGCCTCCCGATCCTGCGCCTCCCGATTCTGCACCTCCCGATCCTGCGCCTCCCGATCCTGCACCTCCCGATCCTGCGCCTCCCGATCCTGCACCTCCCGAACCTGCGCCTCCCGATCCTGCGCCTCCCGAAGTGACCACTACAACTCGCTTCGCCGTTGCGATGATAGAAGATGCTACTACACGTGTCGTAACACTATCAGGGTTGACTATAACGGCGGATTCAGAAATCCCCGCGCTCGTATCAGCGGCCGTCGATGCAGGCAGCTGCGTGTCTCTATCAGCAGATAAAGTTTGAGTTCCTAACTGCCCGTTATTCCATTCCTGTCCGCCTCTCCCCCTCCCTCGACCCCTCCCCCGGTCTCCTCCCCCGCCATCTCCCCTGCCTGCGCTCACCTCTACTCCCCCATGTCCATGTCCGAATCCTCCGCGCCTTCCGCCAACCCCCCCGCTCCTTTCCCCGAATCTGCCTCCCCTCCCCCCGGATCCGCGAAATCCCCCCCTACCACCCCTTCCACGTGCTCCACGCCCAGATCCCTCTCCCCCCGCGTTCCCCTCGCCGTGACCGCCGTCCATTGCCGATCAGGTTAAGGCAAGCCGATCAGGTTAAGGATAATCAACGATTCAGAGCAGGCTCGACAATAACGCCAAAAACTTAATCCACTTTTAAAAGTTCCTCAAGAGCTTGCAATCTGATCTACAGCGAAGGGTATAGAGCGGAACCTACGATGTTTGAAACTTGGCTCCGCAAAGCCCGAAACTCCTAGGCAAAATTGATACCACTACACCGCCTTAGCAAGAGCAACAGCAAGCAAGATCGCTATCGCTCCTTCGTACTGGTAAACTGGAAAATCGGTCCTGCCTCAATAAAAAACGAGGGTGGACCGAAGTCTTTGACCAAATGAACGACGAATGCGAGATGACAGGACTGAAAATGGAAGAACAAGGAGAGGGAAATGTAATGAAAGAAAACAAATTCTTCTCGTTATCGGTGTGATGGGTTGGTTGCTTGGCGGCTGGGGAATTCTTGGTGACAGAAATTGCTTGTGAGGGACTTGTCTTGCCTTGCCTGGCTGAATCGCGGGAAAACCAAGGGCACGGCGTGGCAGATCACTGAATTCTGGTGCCGAAACTGGCGAAGGTATCAACAAGGTTTAGGACTTGCGAAGAGTTTGCGAAGGGAGTTACCGTGAAGAATTTTGGGATTGATCGGATAGGGTAGATGTGGTAATGGGATGTGGTGGCAATGCCATTGGCCACGTATGTTCTATCACCTCGGGTGAATATATTGCATTTTCTGCGAACTGCGGCGCGGTGAGGCGAACTGGCAACCTTTCTCGCGAATTGATGAGGTCAAAATGTAACGCGCCAGCGAGGCTCTCAGCTGTATTTGCGAGACTCGCGGCCTGTTTCGCGACCTGCAGCATTCGCCAAAACGCCACTTCCACAGCCCATCCTCAAATATTCCACGATAGTGTATTCGAAATGCCTTGGATCCAGTCTCCTTTGGACGGATCACAACAACGGAAGTGTGACGTAGCAGGCAATTTCACGGAGTTCCATTGGAACGTGTCTCCCAAACAGCCGGCTATCTGGCAGACAAGACCGGCAGCTACCTTCTCTTTCTGCGACGAAGTCGCAGTCGCACTTTGGTCGTTCATTATGCAGTTCCTGGAGTTCTTCGCCAAGTCGCACACATCCCCTCCCCACTTCTGAACCTGATTGGATCAGCGACGAACGAGAAAAGCCACCGCAATGTGTCACTCGTCGTGATTCGTAAACGACAGCGGAACGCGTCCTCTTGACTTGAACGACAGTATTTCATGAAATATTTGATTCCCTGACGTCAGGCTCCAGATGACGGCCCTCCGCCAAAGCAAGCCGTCGCACACATCGCGTTCCTAGAAATAACTTACTCCAGCGATCTCGTCATCGTCGTCGCAACTCGCCATATCCCCGTTCCTATAGTTTAATCACCGCGTACCTGACGAATGGACGGTCCTCCGCCTAGCAAGCCGTCGCACGCATCGCGTTCCAAGTAATCTTAGTTTCTAGAGTTACTATCGTCGCCGCAACTCACCATATCCCCATAATTCGCGTTCATATAATTCGCGTTTCCTATTATCGCGTTCCTTATATCGCGTTCATATAATTTGCTAGTATGGCGCTGCGGCTGCCATGCTCAACTCACGCGGGTAACTCGCAGCATAGAGCACCAGTGGAGCCCTGTCGAATCCCAAAGCAATTGTTTCGTCCTTCCATGCCTACAATCTTAAGATTCTCTTTCCGGTTCTGTGCTCGTAGTACTCGCCCATCCTTCCACTCTCCTTCATTCTCCATCTCCGAGACTCAAGCAAGACCTTGTGTTGCGAAAGGATAAACTACTTCGATTTGAAACGTCAACTCTTTTGGCTCCTCTTCCGCCGCCTCTTCCGCCGCCTCTCCCGCGAGACCTCCGCCTATTATGAGGACGATGGGCTCTCCTGCCGGCCTCCTGCTGCTCGCCCTTGCCCTCATCGCCGGTTTGTCCGCTTCGCTCTAATTGCCTGCCAAGACATTTGCTCCCTTGCGGTCAGCCCGCTTCTCTTTCATTTCTGCAGTGTCACATCCCTCTACAATTTCTTCCTCTCATGTCTCTAATACGTTTGACAAGCCGCCTTTCTCCCTGTTCCTGCCCCCTTCTGTTTTCTCCCCTCTGCCCTCTTATATATCCCCTCTGCACTCTTATATCTGCCCTCTTATATCTCCCCTCTTATATCTGCCCTCTTATATCTCCCCTCTGCCCTCTTATATCTCCCCTCTGCCCTCTTATATCTCCCCTCTGCCCTCTTATATCTCCCCTCTGCCCTCTCATATCTCCAGTCTGCCCTATAATTAGAAGGCGTATCTACTCTCTCTTTCCTCTTTTCCGCACGTCCTCTCCCTTGTCCTCTGCACCAGTTGAGCTGATGAAGGCAGCGCATGGCGACGCCATGGTGAAACGCACAACTCACCACATGCCCTCTCATATCTGCCCTCTCATATCTGCCCTCTCATATCTGCCCTCTCATATCTGCTTTCTCTTCTCTTCTCCGCACGTCCTCTCCCTTGTCCTCTCCAGCAGCTCACATGATGAAGGCAGCGCATGGCGACGACACGATGAGAAGCATGACTCACCGCACAGCCCACCGTAGCATGCTGAAAGACTCGTATGGAGCTGAAGAAGAGAGGGCTGCAGAAGGCACGGTGGCAGCAACGGCCAGCAGGAAGGTCACTGCGAGGGTTGCGCTACAGACCACTACCAACAGCACCACTGTCAATAGCAGCACCAGCAGTGGGGGTTTACCGCTGCAGTTCGCCACAACCGTGGCTGTGGGCAAGGCTCGGCTGAGCTTCGGCACGCAGCGCTGCCTGAATGTGTCGAAGAAGGCGCGGGGGAAGAGCGCGCAGGTGTGGTGGAAGGGGTCTAGCAGCAAGGCGAAGGGGTTCTCCTGCTGGCAGGTCAAGTTCTTTGACCTGGGCGGCTGCCAGGGCAATGTGATTGACAGCATGGCCAACCTGAGCTCTACTGCTGCGGCCGAGTGAGTGGTGATGGGTGCGTGTCAGTGTGTGTTTAGGCTGTATAGCAGTGTGTGTGTGTGTGTGTGAAGGCACGACGCGTAGGCTTTCTGCATCGATGCACTTTTGAGACGCCTCAGAGGGCCATTTCATGTGCTTCCACTCCGCTTGCCACGCCCTTTCAAAGTCCCCAGCTCTGCTTTTGAGTCGACTCCAAAGCAAGCTTGCCACGCCCTTCAGGGTCTCCAGCTCAAAGAAGACACTCAGCCAGTGGGCCTCCGTGGCCTCTGTTCTCTGCTCCGATGCTCCCTGTGTGTTCACTTTTGAGGCGCCTCAAAAGCCATTTCTGGTGCTTCTTCTTGCACGCCCTTCAGGTTCCCAAGCAGCAAGAAGACACTTAGCCAGTGGGCCTCCGTGGCCTTTGTTCTCTGCTCCGATGCTGCCTGTGACGCGCTATTTTTGAGGCGTCTCAAAGGCCATTTCCCGTGCTTCCATTGCAGGTTCCCCAGCACAATGAAGACGCTCAGCAAGTGGGCTTCCATGGCCTCTATGCTTTGCACCGATGCTGCCTGCGAGGCGTTGGGCTGTGAGCCTGGCGGCACGTGTGTGTTGGACGAGACCGGAGAGCGCTACTGCAAGTGGGGTGAGTGACCAGGGGCCTCAAGAGTGCCTTTTCTCCTTGGCGTCAAAATTGCCCTCCTTGGCGTTGAAATTGCCTTCCTTGGCGTCTGCCTTTGTGCACTGATGCTCCCTGCGAGGCGTTGGGCTGTGAGCCTGGTGGCACGTGTGTGGTGGACGAGAATGGAGAGCGCTAGTGCAAGTGGGGTGAGTGTGAGCATGCTTTTCCCGCTTTGTGTTGACTCATAACACCTGTGTGGTGGATCAGAAAGGCCAGCGCTACTGCCAGTGGGGTGAGTGTGAGCATGCTTTTCCCGCTTTGTGTTGACTCATAACACCTGTGTGGTGGATCAGAAAGGCCAGCGCTACTGCCAGTGGCGTGAGTGGGTATGGCGGTCCCACCTTCAGCTCGTTTCAGCTCGTTTCATCTTGTTCCTTTGAATCTCCCTTCCTCCACTAGCATTTTCCAGACCTACCGCACTCGCACTTGCTTGCTTCTCCCTCTCCCTTGCGCCTTCCTTTGCAATTGTCCTTCCTCACCCTCACCCTGTGCCGCCTGCCCCTCTGATTCCCCAAGTTTTCACTACATAACGCACTGCACCCATCTCCACCCCTCAAGACTCACCCTGTACCTGCCGCACTGGAGCCACCTGCAAGACCGTGCCTTCATTTTTCAACAGCTCGGTTCAGGTGCCTTACTGCTTTGAGGCTCATGAGAAATCATGCCGCACTGCACCCAACTCCACCCCACCCCTCAGACTCGCCCTGTGGCGCCTGCCCCACTGGAGCCACCTGCAAGACCGTGCCATCGACTCAAGATTCTTCGGTGCAGGTGCCTTACTGCGCGTGCCCTGACGGCTATGGGATGACCCCCACCAAGTGTGTCAAGGGTGAGTGCCATTGATGCATGCTCGCTCTACTCTCCACCCCCTTTCCTCTCCCCACGTTCGCCCCACTCCCTCCTCTCCCCTCTCGCCCCAATCCGTCCGCTCCCCCACTCACCCCAATCTTTGCTTCACCTTTCTTGCCATGCTAAGTTCGTTAAGTCACTGATGCTGCTCCAAGTTGTGGGAATGAGTTGATGCCCGTATGAGTGTATTAATGTATGGCAATATGTACGGGTGTGGGAACAATGAAGTTATGTACGAATGTATGAAGGTATGTATGAATGTATGAAGGTATGTATGAATGCATGAAGGTATGTATGAATGTATGAAGGTATGTATGAATGTATGAAGGTATGTATGAATGTATGAAGTTATGTATGAATGTTTGAAGGTATGTATGGATGTATGAAGGTATGTATGTATGTATGAAGGTATGTATGGATGTATGAAGGTATGTATGAATGTGGGAATGCATGCAGCTATGAATGAATGTGGGAATGCTAAATCCGCAGAAAAAAAAAAAAAAAAATGCTCCTAGTTCTTCCTTTGTGCCAATCTCTCTCTCAGGTGGCAATTCAGACGTCCCTTCCCTCAGCCAAACACTCCTCTCCCTCTCCTCCACTCGCCTCCCGCTTTCCCAGGTGAAGCTTCCACTGTCGCATCGATCAGCTACACTCTCATCGCGAATTTAACAGCGAGGGACAACTCTTCTCGACCCTACACCTTTCGCCCCAGCCTGAATAATTGCACTCAAGTACCGGCTGCTGTGGATTCCACGTTCACTGCCATGTACACTGTTTACAACATCGGCAATGCTTCGAATTGGTCCACAGTCAAAATCTTTACAGGCTATAACTGTGACGGCACTGTTATGCTTGGAAGCGACAGTTCATACACCCCGTCGCTTGTTGCACTCTTTTATAGGTGAGTGTTTGGCTGTTTTGAGTCGACTCAAACACAGCTTTTGCAGTCGTTTATACGTGAGTGTTGAGTGATTGGCTGTTTTCCGCCCACATGCTTGCACAGCTTTTCCGTTACCGTTCAGCACCTATTTTTTTACCAATATCTTTGGTTATATTTCTTCCTCCCCTTGTTACCATTAAGCAGGAAAGTGACACCTGGTCTGCTTCACTCAGTCATGTGCGCTGCGTAGGATGGCATGGGTGGCAGCACAGTTTACGAGGCTAGGGTGACATATGGATACATCGGTGGTAGCACAGGCTACGAGGCATGGTGACATATGCACATGCTTCACATGTACATTCCCGTCGACTCAATAAGAGTCCTTTTCCCCTCCACTCAGTGAGACCCAGCAAGTGTGCTTTCGTGCCAACCAAACCAACCATTGTGAAGGGGAGAAGGATGTTTCGCTCAAGACGTGTTTTTGTAGAGGTGACTTTTGAGTTGACTCAAAAGTCACCTTGTAGAGCTGTACGTGTTGTTTTGAGAAGCTTGCTGTAACTGAATGTCCTGATATCTGGGATCATGGAATACAGGTGCCGAAACTGGCGAAGGTATCAACTAGGTTTAGGACTTGTGAAGAGTATGCGAAGGGAGTTACCGTGAAAATTTTGGGGTTGAGCGGATAGGATGGTATAATGTGGTGGCAATGCCCTTACATAGCACTGTTCATGTGATGTACTAGCATTGTTGTTTGTGTTACATAGCTCCACTTATGTACCAGGCACTTTACCCTTGGGTTAGATGTAGCCTTGTACCCTTTATTGTCAATAAAGTGGCACTGCCATTGGCCACGTATTTTTTTCTATCACCTCGGGTGAATATACTGTATGCCGCGCGGGGAGGCGACTTGGCAACCTTTCTCGCGAGGGTGTTGAGGTGTTGGTGCGAGGCTCTCAGCTGTATTTGCGAGACTCGCGGCTAGTTTTCGCGACCTGCGGTATTCCCTGAACACTACTTTATTTACAATATCATATTTGTACAGAGAATACAAATGGTGTCGAGCATAAGAAGCTAACCAGCGTTGCCTGCTATCCTAGGACAGAGACCCCGACGAGGTCTCAAGAACCAACACCGAGGTACGCAAAATCAGCCAGGGAAGGTGGAGTGGGTTCCAGTGGCGCGGAAGGCGTGTCAGTACTGTAGCGTATTTGTGCCCGACGGCAAATGGTTCTGGCCTGCTCGCGCTTATGCACCAAAGAAATGCGCTCGAAGTAGCTCGTCTCGAAAAGCTCTGGAATGAGGTCGGATGTACCACCCATGTCTCGAAGCCGTGTCGCCCCTCGACGGCTGCAGTCCTTGATGAAGCTGAGGAATGACGTACCAAAGCAACCGAAGGTTTCGAGGACAAGAGGAAGAAGCTTCACGTCTGGTCGGTGTTGTAGCGTAGACGCATACAGGGTCCGTTTCTTGGTTTCGCGAGCAGATGCTGCTGAGCCGATGACAGATGCAGTTTTGGAGTTTGGGGGGCCATGCTGGGGATCGGCAACCGAAACATCTAATGCCCATGTTGTCCCCGAGCTAATGTCACGGCAACTGATGTCAGGGCGGCGTCCTGCAAGAAGATGAGAATCCTCCAACTGCACCACATAACCAAGCTCCGATGTGATGCGGTGAACCTCATGCTTGATAGCGTCGTGAACCCTGGTAGGCTCGTTAGCAGATGGACAGCGGAGGACATGTGAGACGATTGAAGGATCCGTGAATGACGAGCCGCAAGTGCATGCCCGGGTGGATTCCCTGAACACTACTACAACCCTTACGGCTTCAAATATTCCACGACAGTGTATTCGAAATGCCTTGGATTCAGCAACCCTTTGGACGGATCACAACGGGAGTGTGACGTAGCAGGCTAGATTCACGGAGTTCCATTGGAACGTCTCTCTCAAACGGCCGGCTTTCCGGCAGATAAGACAGGCAGCTACCTTCGCTTTCTGCGACGAAGTCGCATTGTAGTCGTTCATAAATTGCAGTCGTACTTTAGGTCGTTCATATTTTGCTGGTGTCGTGACTCGTGCGTTTTCTGCCTGGTCGTTCATCCCTACTGCCGAACCTGATTGGATCATCGACGAACGGGGAAAGGGCACCGCGTTGGGCAATTTGTGATTTGTGAACGACAATGCAACGTGTCCTCGTGAGTCGTGACCCAAACGACAGTATTTCATCCCTCCCCGAGTCCCAGTCTATTCATGAAGTATAGTATTTGATTGGCTCATGTCAAGCACCGCACGATGGCCGTCCGCCTAAGGGCGCGTGTCCTTGAGATCGAACTTTTGCCAAAGCTCGAACTTCTAGAAAGGTTGTACACGGTAAGATACAGTTTAGAAACGTCTTGTCACGGTAAAAAGCGGTACTAGGCTCGAACTTTGACAATCTACACCAAAAGACACGCGCCCTAAGCAAGCCGTCGCACAAATCGCGTTCCTAGTAGTAACTTACCTCAGCGATATCGCCGTCGTCGTCGCAACTCGCCATATCCCCCGTTCCTATAATCTAAGCACCGCGTACCTGACGAATGGATGGCCCTCCGCCCTAGCAAGCCGTCGCACGCATCGCGTTCCAAGAAATCTTAATCTCCAAAGTTACCGCCGTCGCAACTCACCACATCCCCCCGTTCCTATCATTCGCGTTCCAAAAATTCGCGTTCCTATAATTCGCGTTCCCATAATTCACTACGATGGCTCTGCGGCTGCCCTGCTCCACTCACGCGCGTAGCTCGCATCATAAATCACCGGTGCAGCTCAGTCAACTCTCAAAGCAAGCGTACCGTTCTTCCACTCCTGCCACTCCACGACATTCCTTCCGGTTCTGTGCTTTGTACTACGGTAGTACTCGGCCATCCTTCCACCGGCCATCCTTTTATTCAGCGGACAGGCTCTCTTTATTTGTCTCCTCTTCCGCCGTCTCTCCGCGGAACCCCCACCATCATGACGACGATGCGCGCCTCCCCCGCCGGACTCTTGTTCCTCGCCCTTGCCCTCATCTGCGGTCAGTCCGCTTCTCCCTCATTTCTGCAATGTCTTTGACATGCCTCTCTCGTATCTCCTCTCTGCATCCCAAAATTGACGGGCCCCAAAAAGTACTTCCAAACAAGTTAGTTTGGCGAAGTAACTTCTGCGGGGCATTTGGTTGTGGTGCTGCCCCGAAACCGAACCGAAACGGGGATGCAGGTTCGAATTTGGTCTGGGCGCGGTGGTTTTGGCTTGGCGCCAATCTGGTTGCAGAAGAATTGTCGCGTGCGTCGCTTTTTGCCCTGAAACCTCGTGTCTCGGACAACTCGGGTGGCAGTATCTGGCGCGACACTGTTTGGAACTCCCTTCTGGCTCCATACTCGATGTTCGATATGTGAAGGGAAAATATGACAAAGGCATATTGGATACATTGAGTTTACAACTAGGAGTAAATATAGAACGTGTTTTTGTATTTTGTGACTTCATGCGAAGTGTGTTTGGAATGTTTGTTTCAGATGTATTTTAAACAACCATACGCATTTGGAAAACAAAAATGGCACCGCGCAAACGGACAGTCCTATCCTTGCACAGTTTTTCCTGCTCAATCGTTTGAAGCGACATACTTTTATACCAGATGGGGCGAATGCCACCAAAGTTGTATTGCATGCTTGCAATATAGTAGCTGTAGAGAAATATCAAAAGAAACCTTGTAAATAAAAAATTCATCAGACGTTGAAACGACACCACGTGTCGCACAAGCTTATCATTGCCAAGTTTTCGATGCTTACATGTTCAAATGTATTTTTTTCACTATTTCTTCACACATTTAGGTAGTACATCCTATTACCTTCCCATAGGAACTGGTTTGACCTTGTTCGCACAACTACGCAGCACGTGACGCTTGTTTGTGCGTATGTTGGCCTGAATCTGTGCGAGGATAGGCCTGTGCGCAACATGTCACTGCGCCAACGTCTGAATGCCTTTTTTACCACTATTTCTTCACACAGTTCTCTACTACATCCTATTACCTAGCCATAGGAACTGATTTCATCTCGTTAGCACAACTACGCAGCACGTGACGCTTGTTTGTGCGTTTGCTGGCCTGAATCTGTGCGAGGATAGGCCTGTGCGCAACATGTCACTGCGCCAACGTCTGAATGCTGTTTTTTCCCACTATTTCTTCACACAATTCTCTACTACATCCTATTACCTAGTCATGGGAACTGATTTCATCTCGTTCTCACAACTACGCAGCACGTGACGCTTGTTTGTGCGTTTGCTGGCCTGAATCTGTGCGAGGATAGGCCTGTGCGCAACATGTCACTGCGCCAACGTCTGAATGCCCTTTTTTATCAAAATCACTAGGCAAGAATAATGAACTAGCAGAAGTTTGGGTACAAATATGAAACCCTAGTTGGGGTTGTACCCCATATTGGCTACCCCACTACAGCCTACAAGCATAATACAGTTTAACACACCCCCATAGGCAAAGTGGGGGAGAACAAAGGGTCATAAGACCAGTCCAGCAAAGCAAAGCAAAGCCCAGGGTGGATCACAACGTCACCACACTCCGAGCACAAGTAAAGGCCACAAGGCCAGTTCACATGCAGTGCTAGATATAGTACAAGACAAGCAACACAGTGATCAAAAACCTAGCAAGCAAGCAACAAGATATATATAAAGTACAGTACAAAGAATGTCAAGCAGTGAGCAAGTGAGGAAACGTGGACACAAGGCCTAAAGAAGTACAGTGCCGCTGATGATCACTAGGCGGGAGCGCCTTGGTGAAGATATCAGCAGTGTTGGCCTTCGAGTCCACGTACACAAGCCGAAGCTGACCGCGCTGCTGAAGCTCTCGAGCAAGAAAGTAGCGAAGAGCAATGTGCTTCGTCCTGTGCTCCAGTCTGTGCTCCTGACACAAGGCAAGAGCCGCCTTGTTGTCACCGTACAGAACTGGAGGAGAACTAGGCCGCTCTCCCAAGTCAGTCAGCAGGTAGGTGAGCCAGCGTAACTCCTGTGCAGCCAAGGCTGTGGCGTAGATCTCAGCCTCACAACTAGAGCCGAGAACAGAGGAAGAGCGGGTGGACCGCCACGAGACAGAACCAGAGCCAAGGCTGAAGGTGTAACCCTGTGACGACCGCTGCGTAGCCAGGTCGTCCACCCAAGAGGCGTCCGAGTGACCAGTGAGGACAACTCTGTCGCGTCCTCCAAGCACCAGCCCCATGCCTGATGTACTGCACAG